TACGTATGTATATATTTACTAATTGCTTCTATGAATTAATCAAATTTCGCATCATTTTTTGAAATTTATTTCGCATAAAATCGTTTTTAAGAAGCGAAGAAAATTTGTTTAATGATTAAATAATAATAATAATTTATTTTCTCTTATTTTTAACAGCGTTTTATTTGCATAAAATATGATGCTGCTGCTTCTTTTTTTGAAAACTTTTAAATGATTATGATTTGAAATATGAATTAATGATTTTTTATTGATTAACAGTTTTTCAGTTTGTAAGATTTTTGGACATTTGTTGAGATCTTGATAAAATTAACAGCAAATCCATTGCAATTATTATGAAATAAAAAAAGAAGTGCAAAGAACAAATGATTTTTTTTTTTTGAAATGAATTGTACGATTGATGTCATAATGAAATTTATAGGAAATGAATTACAAGTAATGGAAATTGAGGAATTGGTTCAAAGTAATAAAAGAGAGAGAGAAAATTATTGGAATAAGGGTGAAGGGGCAATTAAGAAAAATGCTTACTTTGCTATAATATTTTAATTCAGTATTCTTTACTGATTTGTGCTAATATTTATTAATTTTTAATCGTTTTTACTTCCAAATCTTGTACTCTAAATTTTTTAATGAAATGTATAATATTTTTGATAACTCTTATCACTAGATTTGATAAATATTAAAATGTGATAGTCGAATATTACTCTTATACATATAATGAACTGAACTGATTATTACAATCAAATGATTTCATTACTTAATTAAAATTGAAATATAAAGAATATTTCAAAAATATTTTCAAAACTTTTTATTATCAATTATGCTTTCTTCTTCCAAAAAAATATAATAATATAAATAAATGTAAATAATAATTGTGCTTTATTTAAATTCATTTGAATAACGAAAAGTATTTAACGAATTGTGATAATTCAACGAATTTTTATTTTTTATAAGTGCTACTTTTTTCCAAACAATTTTTTTTTCAAATATTTGAAAAAGTTCTCCTTTTTTTTTTAAATTTTTTTTTTTCTGATAATCTAATTGGCGTTTTTCATCTGTTGTTCTTTTCTAACACAATTTATGAGCAAGTAAATTCACTGCGAAAATTTTATCATTCAATTTGATGACGCTGCTTTTTTTATTGCACAAATAAAAAAGTAATACAATTTTTAGTTTTTTGTTTTGTTTTTGTTCCAAACTAAAAAATTACTAGATTCACATTTTTTTTTTTATTCGCTAATAAGGAAAAGTGTATGATACCTTCGAAACAGAGATTTTTTTCTTTATATTTAATATTTAAATTATAAATATTAAAAGTAACCATAAATCTGTATTTAAGATAAATAATAATGAAATATAATAAAAAAAATATTATTGAGCAAATAGCCTATTCAATCTTGCCATTAATATTAATTACTCAGTAAATTAGTGCACTGTACAGATGATAAAATAAAATTGCAAATCACAAAAAAAAAAGACATATATATATATATATATATATATATATATAAGAATTTGATTGTTATTAATCTTTTTATCAATTAATGTAATTGAAGAAATAATTCCTTTTTTTGTGGCTTGAAATTTTAACATTTGAAAGAAAAAATTAAAATTTATTAAGTTGCTAAATGATAACATTGTTTTGAAGCAAATCTTCTTTTTTCTATTTAGTTAAACAAATTTCACATTTTTACTTCTATTCTCTGTAATTTATTTTCCTGTCAGAGCTAATAAATTTTAGATGACAGTTCGCCGATCTAAGATATCGAAAAGTTATAGAAGTATTAGAAACGGGCGCTTTCTTTCTGTTTCATTATATTTTTATTTTTTCTTAAATCTTATAGTGATTTCAAAAAAAATTAAAATCTCATCATAGCGATTTCGATAATTCTATTGAAAAAAAAAAAAAAAAAATTATTGGAAAGAAAAGTTACGAAATGACTTATTTGGTGCTAAATTAAAATGAAACTTTGAAAATTTATGTTTTGCAAACAATTTAGATGGTTCAAATTTTTTTTCTTTCTCATTCATTCTCATTGTCATTTATCATTTAATATTTAATATTTAGTATTTAATATTTAGAATGAGCAACAAATGTAAATATTATCAAATATAAATAAATAACTAGGATGAAAAAAATTAAATTTTGAACTTTTTAAAAAATTTTTGTTTTTTTTAATTTTTGTTTTAAAGTGAAATAATTTTGTTTTAAAGTGAAAACAGAAGTGAAAATATAGGATATAAATGTCTTTAATAACATATATCATTTAAATCATTCCCAATTGAGTTAAATGATAAATTAATTTGAGCTTTTTTTTATATTATAATTGAAATTGCTTTAGTGATTAGTTGGAATGCTAAAATAGTGCACTAAATTAATTTCAACAATTAGTTCAGTTCGCAGTACTTAAATAAATTGCGTTTGTTTGACAATTACTTTATTTAAATGTTTTTTTAAAATTTTGTTTGCAAAAAAGCTATGGTTGTCACGAATAAAAAATAATTGAGAAAGGCATCAAAACATTAATATTTAAGTTGGTAAACTTCTTTCCATAAAAACAAATTAAAATTGATAAAATTATTAATTAATTAAAATCTGATAGCAATCAAGTTTTCATCAAATTTTGAAGTAAAATTCTTGTCAAGTAATTTTATATAATATATCGATAGCTTTGATAGTATTTTGAAGTCTAAAGACTGAGTAAAACACTTCTAAGTAAAGTTTTAAGTAAATTAAGTAGAAATGAGCTAGCGATATAGGTGTGAAATATAATTTTCTTTTGTTTAACAACATAATTTTGATAACTTTTTCTAAAATTTGCAAATATTTGAGCAATTTTTTTTCTTTTTGTTTCGTCCTAATTCATCGTTTTGTCGAAATACTTAAATTATTAACTTAAAATTTGCTTATATTTATTTAGACACTTTATTTAGCTGTACCCTTATTACACGAGTATGATCTTATCATTGAAAAGTATTTTTGAACCGAATTATTACAATTAACTCTTTTCTTCTTGCATTGATAGTTTTTGCAATATAAAAAATGTATTTTCTGATGCATCTTAGTTTAAACTTGAATTATTCTCTTTCTACTTAAAAACCATTTATTTTTTATATTTAAATTTAAAAAGAGGAGAAATTTTTGAGGCAATTCCCAAATGTTCGTCAAATTTATTCGACATATAACAATAATTTTATGCAATGTAATAAAGTAATTTTGGACTAATTTTTTTCTTTTTTGCAATAAAAGTTTGGTCCTTTTTTCAGTGACTTTTTTCAATCCTAAAATTTCTTAATAATACTGAGCGAATCAAAATTATTTTTTCCAATTAACAATAAAAATTTTTTTTCCAGTTGACAAACAAAAAATTTTTTTTGACAAAACGTAAAATATTTTATTATGTAATTTCTTTCATTTTAAAAAATTATAAAAAGAAAAATTCTACTCATTTAAATATTAATTTAAATATAAACAAAAGAGTTTTTAAGAAGTTTGACAGAAAAAATTTTTGATTTTTTTAATTTTTTTAATGAATAAAAATTCCCTTTTTCTTTTCTTCCCTTTTTCTTTTTTGTTTGATACTTTCCTTCTTTTTCTCCTTGCTGTTCGTTAAATTTAACAATTTATTCATTGCTAAAAATTTTTAATCTCGGACTTTTCTTTCCTTGCACTTTTTTTTGCTGTCCATTTTTCAAAATTTATTTTTTTTTATGAAAATATAAAAACATGTTCATTTTTAAAAAAGAAAATTCAATTTCACTTTTTATTAAAATTTTTCTCCTAATTATATTTTCACTTTTTCTTCCTCCCTTCTCCCATTAATTATTTAAAAATTTGTTATCATTTTGTGATAATTGAATTTTAAAGCATTGAAAAAAGTTAAAAAAACAAAACCATTTCGTTAGGAAACATTTTGTTTATTAGATTTTTTTGAAGGATTAATATAACAAATAAATCATTGCAAAATTTTGTTGTATGATCGAAATACGTCTGTAACTTTCGGTAGGCTTTAATTTATCTCCATAAATAGGAAGTTTTATCCTTTGATCTTTACCGCGTAAGTTGTAAATTCTCCCTTTTCCGTTGCATCCAGTAAAGAATTTCTACTTTCCAAACAATGCAAATTCAAATATTTAAATCTCATTTCTGCTAGACGTTTTAATTGAATTCGAAACATAGCAACTCGAAATGATCATTCACTCGTCAAATGGCAGAAATTGAAATGTTTTATGCCTGTTCATTAATTTTCAATTCTTCTGCAACATTGCAAATCATAATATTTAAGTTTAGTTCATAAAATAATACAGCATATGTATAAGTTTTTAAGTTAAAAAAAATAGTTTGAATTAATGTTTTAATTCATTGATGCAGTGAAAAATATTTCAACAAAAAAATTAACTTAAAAATAAAATAAAATTCCAATGTTTAAGTTTATCTCAGTTTCGTTTTGGTTCTTTCTCTTCTCACTTAACAAATAATAAGCATTATATAAGTTTAAATTATTTCATAAATTACGCATTAAATGTTACATAGCTGTGAACTTCCTGTGATGAATCATAATAAGCGGAAGGAAATTAATTATACCTAAGCTACTTACTAGCTAATACAATTTTTCAATTCGTTTTCATGTATTCTTATCAAAAAAAAAAATCTCAATAATTATGTTTTTATCAGCAATTTATCATTTTATGAACGTTTTTCAATTATTAATATTATTATTTAAATGTGATCATTTTAAATTTTCAATTTTGTAATTGCAGGAAAAAATTTTTGATAAATAAAAAGCGAAAAATTTTATTATATGCATCATAGCTGCTAGTCATCATTAATGATAACGACACTGTAATATTTCTTTTTTTTTTTTTTTTTTTAATTCATTGATTCTACTGTTAATTTCTAATATTTGAACAATTTCATATTTTGCTGAATATTTGACGCATCTATTATTATTTACGTTTGTTTATTTATTTCACTAATAAAAAATAAAAATAGCTGCACAATAATGAGGGAATACAATAATCAAGATGTGAAAATTAATGAAACCGAACTTGATCCATGCATTGCTGCCGAAATTCGTATGAAGAAAGCATTATTTTCACAAAGGTAATTTTTTTATTTTTTTTCTTTTTCCTGTAAGTTTCAAATTTTATTTAATTTCACTTCATCTGGTACTTTTTCAATTATAATTTTAAAACGGTAAAATAAAATTTCAAATTTATTTTGGTTTTTGTTTTCAGGACTCGACGTAATCTATTGTTTCTTTTCACTTTCATTGCTATATTAATCATATTTTCCATTTTGCTCTTTCTTCTATTATCCAAAACATCATCAAAAGGAAAAGCCGTGCAAACAAATGCATCATTACCTGAAGCAAATTCGAAAATTTCTCATAGTCTTGAAAGCTCCATTACTACTACTACACCAAAATTTTCAACGGTAAGATCATTTTAAGGAAAAAAAAAAGGTTTTTTTTTCTTCCTTCAGATGATTTATTCCTGAAAGAAATGAAAGGAAAGATAAGAGAAAAGATCTAAAATTAATTAATTTATTTCCCGTAAAAGCTTAAAATTCATTTTATTTCATAAAAAACAAATAAGTAAAAATTTTACTTAACTATTACAATAAATTAATTTATCAAAATTGATGTGAAACTTAACATAAACGATGTTTTCATTTGTAGATGAATGATTCTTCTACGAAAGCAATTGACGCATCATCTCCGAATGCTATTGAAAATGACACCAATACATTTCAGGTAGGTGACAAGCATTCAATTCATCGTTTCGACTATCTTCTTTCCCCCATCAAATTATCAATTAAATGAAAACAAAAAGATTGCACAAAATTCTTTGAATTAATAGAAACAATTAGGTCATTTATTTTTAAAAAATTAACGCAAATTTTGTTTTAAAATCGATAATTGGAAGAAAAATAAGCATACAATACATTTTCTTATATTGATTATCTTTGCAAATTAAATAATAAACAAATTAGAATAGAGGTTGTAATAAGCAATAAAAAAGAAGGAAATTGCAAATCATTTTGTATAGAAAGTTTGAAAAGCAAAATAAACGCTTGCATTAGTCAACAAGTAGTTAATATATTGACTCGTACTGATTACAATATATTGAATTAAAAAAGTTAATTGTATTCTTTTTCATTTATTCTCTTTGCTTTCATATTCCAAAAATTTTATTAATTTAAGCAGTAGAAGTATAATTATTCGTTCCTTTTTTTGATTAACTTTTTTTTTTTTTTGCTTTGTATTGTTTTATCATATTTGTTTTTACTTATTATCCTTTTCAATTTTAATTTTCAGCAATTCAAATTTTCGCTTTTCATTTCTTTATATTTTGTCAGAATTTTTTACTTCCTTTTATACTTTCCTGCAGAAAAGTATCATAGATGCAATTAATTCAACATTACATTACTCATCTATGACTACGGTAGCAACTGCGCCAATAACTACGGTAACAACTACAGTAATCGCTCAAGCAAATATTGATAGAGCTTCTGTTGTTTTGGTACGACCTACTAGTAATAACAATATTAATCCGATGACAGCAACACCTGCTATTAGATCAGATAAACAAACAGACGAATCAATTACTCCATCATCATTTGTTGATGACAACGATGAAGTTGAGGTTTGCTGTTGGGTCATTTTTTTAATAGCAACTATATAATAAATAAAATTTGATAAGACAAAACACGATAGCCTAAAGGTGATTCAAAGAGAAAAATTGATAAATATGATAATTTAGGAAGTGAAATATAATATAAATGCAAACTTAAACAAAAGTTCATAAATACGTTAAAAATTGATAAGTACAATAAATTAGAATTAGAGATCAATTAGAGAAATATAAAAAAAAATTAATGAAAAAGACATGAATATGATAATAATTTCGACCATTACTCTTTTCATATATCTTATGCTTCTATCGTACGAAATCTAAAACGTAACATGCAACCATGAAATCATTTAAAACTATCTTTTTAAAATAATACATTATTTTAAAAGAAAAACGAAAACGCTCTCTGTGATAAACAACAATTGTTTGATAAAGAAAAATCAATTATTCATTTTTTCGTTTCTTAATATTTATAAGCAACGAACGCTATATTTTAATTTGCAGGATTGCAAAGCACTATTTAGTCAAGGTAAGACTAAAAGTGGAATTTATCAAATATTTCTACCAACAGTTGGCAAATTCAATGTTCTCTGTGATATGAAAACGAATGGTGGCGGTTGGACAGTAATACAAAAGTAAGCATCTAAGAGAGACAAAAAAAGGGAAATACATTTAAAAAAAAAAAACTATTTTAACTAGTTTAGTAAAACTAGTATAATTAATTTAAAAAGCAGAAAAAAACTAAAAATTCTAATTTCAGAAGGCAAAATGGTCAAGTATACTTTGCTAACCGTACTTGGAATGAATATGAAAATGGTTTTGGTGATCTAACAACTTCATTTTGGCTTGGTTTAAATAAGGTTTTCTTCCTTTTATCCTTGTTGACCAAAAATAAAGAATTATTTTGGTTTGGTTTAAATGATATATACTTGAACTTAGCTTGCATTATGATTAGGCTATAAGTGCTTATTTATGGTCAAGTATACTATATATAATGGAAATCATTAACCGCAAAAGATAATGGAAATGTGTGTATGTTGGAAAGTTTAGTGATGAGATAATAGTTAATAATAAAACTTTATTATTGTATCCAACAATAAAACTTTGTTAATTACGTAATAGGTCACGTAGAAAACGTCATTTAATCTATGTGAGAATTACTTGAACAGTGTTAAAATATATTCAACTATTTGATAAGTTTGTTATATTTTGTGACAAATAATAGTAATGCTTCATTCTTTTCATATCAAATGTGTTTCAGATTTGATAACGTTATATTACAAACTAATCGTTAATAATATATATGTAAAAAGTAAATTATTTTCAGATACATGCATTAACCGCAAAAGAGAATGGAAATCCGGTAACATTACGGATTGAATTACGCGGTGATTTATGCGAAGATAAAAATGGTTGCTCAAAACAACCAAATGGTTATTGGTGGGGTGAATGGGACTTTAATGTGAGGGAATTAATTGTTAGCATAATTATTTCCTAGTAAACTAATGCTAATTGATGATTTTCATGAATTGTTGACAATTCTAATCTGTTTCAAATTCTAGTAATTTTTTTTGGAATTTCTTTTTTCAAAATTATAGCAGTTCTTTGTTTTGTTATGCTTTTTTCTTTGATTAAGAAGCAATAATTATGAAGTTTTTAAGTGAGTATTTTTTGATGGATGACTTAATTTATTTACTGTTACAGATTGGTGATGCATCACAGAAATATTCCCTTTCGATATCATCCGCTTTAGCGGGTAATCTTTCCGAGCGTACAATTACTGATCGGTTTTATTACATGAATAACGGGAAATCATTTACAACTATTGATCAAGATAATGACAAATTTCAGGGTAATTGTGCCCAATTTCGCGATTTTGGGTTAGCAGTTATTTCCTTATCAGTTTTATCAATATTATTAATGGGTTATCATTTTACGATTGGATTCATTCACAAATAATTTGTTCACTAGTTTACTGCCCTTATTGAGTTTTTTTTTTTTTTTTTACTGACGTCTCAAGATAAAGTAAATTTATTAGTTTTATCAGTAATTTGAATTCATTCTATCGATATTTGTGATCAGTTAAAAAATGAATGAAACATTGAATGGTTATAAAAAAAATCTAAGCTTCAGTGATAAATTATCACATTTCTTAGCTATCTATATTCGACTTAATTATTTCTTTGCATATTTTCGAGACATTTTTAGATAACATAACGTATTTAAATCTCATAAATCAAATAATACGTTTTTTAAGTCTTCATATTTGATATACAGTTAATACCGTAAACATTTCCTGATCTATCTTCGTGAGATAATATTAGCAAAAAAGAAAAATGCAGAGGTTGGTGGCATAATGATTGCGGTTATGTTGCACTAAATGGACGATACGGTGATCGAACATCAAAAATGCGAAATATGTTTTGGTTTTATGGTAGTGGAACACGTCCATTTATTAATTATTATATCAAACCACGCGAAACGGAAATGAAATTACGATCGAAAAGCTAACGGATAATTAATGGATTGCTTGTTAATGCTTCCATCTCGATCCATTATATATATATATACATATGTATAAATATTTATTACTATTTTGTGCAAATTATCATGATAATCTATTCAAGGTATGTGATTTTCCTATCCTAATTTTCATTTTAATTTTCTGTTTCTTTTGTCCAAAAAAAAAAGACATAATGTTTTTTTTTTTGTTTTTTAAAAAGACTTTTATCGACAAATTTCTTTTTAGTTAGCACTATAATTACTATAGCTATTATTGTTGTTGTCTTTGTTGTTGTTGTTGTTACTGTTGCTGTTGCTACTGCTAAAATTATTATTCTTATCGTCATTATTATTACTATAATCGTTACTATTATTATTATCTGCCATGCAATGAAATCAAAACGATAATAACAATAAGGGCGAAAATAACAAATAATATGTATTTCAAATAAGAGATTTTAAAAGCTTCAACCTTTTTTTATCTGATTTAATAATTTTAAATTAAAAATTTGAATTAAAAATTTTATCTTTTCCTTTTTCAACTATTTAAAAAACTTAAAACCTATATAAATACTATCATTTTTGTATTTTCTATCATTCTGCTAATCTTCTTCTCAGTTACTTTTATTCATAATGAAGAGAGTTTGATTAAGTAGGAGTTAAATCTTAAAAAATTATTGATGGAATAAAAAATTACGAAAAAATAAAAAAAGAATTCATATCAGCTGTGTTATAATTTTTATTTTTTTTACAGATTTTTCGAGAAGAAAACATTTATTTCAAGATTCTTGAATTCATTTAATGTGTCGTAATCTTTGCGAAAATTAGATTTTCTCTTGATGTTATGATGTATATTTAACTTTTATAGTTGGAAAGTACTACTTATATTGATAGCCAATGACTAGATGTAAACTAAATGTGTGATAAATAATATTTTTGCTGCTTAATAACTAAGATTTAAACCCATACAGTGTTTTATTATTATCTAAGTGACACGTGGTAATCAATAATACATCGTATAAGCTATATCGGAAATTTTAATTATCATAAACAGCGTTATTTATGCTTTCCACTGATAATTTCAGCAATTTTTTTTCATCATACCATTAGATATGTCATTCAATCAATCAATTTTGCTTGTAGTAGGGAAAACTACCTAAATCAATTGTTTCATGAGAAATTAAAATTTCCGGATTTCCCTTTAGAAATTTTAGCAAAGCTTCTACGTAATTAGTAAAATATTATCCAATATTTCTGATTAATTTATGAGTTAATAATCATCGCAAAATTTTATCGTTTAAATACGGATTTTTGTGTTTTGTGTCTTTCTGCCAAATGAATATTAGTTATTAATGATCTGATTCAAATATTGTCATATATATTTATTATCACTACATAACTTATTGGCTGGAAATTTGCTGTAGCACTGAGTATAATAAGGAATTAAAACTTTGTAATCTTCTTTCGAAACTGGATATAATTTGAAATAAACGAATTAAAATAACGAATACAATGAGTTCATTTGATATTATAATAGCTAAAATCACAATAATTAAAAATAATTAATGAGACGGATAATGATTAGCATTAAGAGAATAATGATTTTATTTTTTTCCTAAATTTCATTTTTTCAATTTTTACAGCTCCCTTCTTAGTCTCTCCTTTCTTATTTTTTCTTTAGCTATAAAAACTGGTTCTTTCATGTTTGATTTTTTTAAGCAAGAAGAAAGGAAATTTTAAAAAATTCAATAAAAAATCAATATTAATAAAAAATCATATAATATTGTTTATGCTTCATTTCATATTTCAAACATATGTTTCAAATTTTCCACCACAAATAAACAACTATCATATACTAAGTGTAAAACGTACATCTGACGTATAATATTCAAAAGTTTACCGTTGGCAGTCATATCAACACACAGTAGCATTAGTAAAGCACATATAAAGTTATGAAAACTGAGTGAAAAAATCATTTCAATTGCTTTAATCAAGGCATTCGTTTTTCTTTTCAATCGAACTTCGTACTTTCCTTTTTCCATATATGTTACATACGCCTACATACGTCTAGATACGTGTATGAACAAGTCAGCATTTAGACAAGTAATCTACTTTCCAGGTACATCCACAGAAGTACTCACACACGTTCGACTCACAACTAAACACATCAAACACGTCCAACTCGCAAGCACTTACACATCGATACAAAAAGAGAGCCACAAACATTTCCATTTATTTTCTACAAAATTTGCCCACTTGTTTAGACAAGAAAAAAGAAATGAAAAAAAAAAAAAAAAAATGTTTCATTCAATTTGCAATACATACATGTTGTACAATGGAAAAATGAAATTTTCACCAAATTAAAAATCCAAAAAAAGGAAAAAATAAGAAAACAAAAACATATTTGTTATATTAATTGATTCAATGATATTTTCGTATGAAAATTTTGTTCATTTACATAACTAAACTGAAATTTCTATCAAAATTAAACTGACAACATTCAAAAATGATAAAAAATTTAACAAACAATGTTTGTGTCACTTAGCAGCAAGAAAGGATCAAATTTTGAAATGAGTGATGAATTCTACTATCAGTCCTTTTAAAATTTTCACTATTTTTTTTCATCTTTGGAAGATAAATTATAAACCAAAAAACAAAATTATAATAATTGAAAGACAAATATAAAATTCTTGCAATTCATACATTTATTTAAAGACTTTTTCTACGTTGAGATTGACATTTGAACTTTGAATAATCAGCCAATTTTTCCTCACTTGGTTTCAGAATGCTTTTCGAATTATTGAGGATTGATCGATGTTCTGATGAATTCGTAAATGCACCATTTGTGTATGCATATGGCTAAAAAGTGATAATGAAAATTTGCGCTTTTTTTGAAGTCATTAAATTACTTATCAATTCATCGAATTAGTCACCTAGTAGAAAGATTTATAAGTTATATTCGCATTAAAAATTGCCTCTGAACAGTAGACTTGGTGGGTTTATTTTATTATTGAGTAATATTTAATCATTAACCTATTACTTCCACTGATCTTTTCTTTGCTAATTCATTGATAATAAAAATAGACAAACATTATCTCTAGATAAAATTGATCGATTTTTAAATTCAATTTTAAATTAATTCATTTATTAAAAAAACTAGAAAATTAATGATGAAAATTTTTTCGATCATTAAATTGTTTGTAATTTTTTATCTTTAACACAAGTTGTCGCACGTATAACGAATAATTTGTATAAGTTTCAGAAACAATTAATCAATATTCAAAAAAAAAAAAACTATTCTCAGCTTTTTTGCTGTTTGCTACACTGACCATCATACAATCGCCATCATTGGAAACATTGAAAATGAAGAATGGGTTTTCTGTAATCTTATAAGATATTATAAATGAAAATGAAAGCAAAATATATATATTGTATGTATCGAATTCTAATAATTCGCTCCTGTTTTCTGTTTCTTTTATAATTTTGAAATTTACTTCATTGAGAGATTAAAGGATGAATTCAAAAGGTAAAGCATTGTTTTCTTATCAAAATTTTAATTTCACAAATATCCTGTCTTTTAGTTTTTTCCTGCAAAAAAAAAAAAAAAAAATTTCTTTTTAAAATTTTCGATATTAATTTGATTTTAATTAAGACTTAAAGTATACAGTAAAAACAAATATGAAAAATTTGATTTACTATTTTCATACTTCGTTTTTTATGAGTTGCAGGAGCTTCCTCAACTGTCTTAGTCGCAGTTGACAATAAATTAGATGGATCGAAACATTTGCTGTACCATTTAGCAATCCACCTGAAATTCAAATTATGGCTTTGAACTTTTAATAAACCGGAAGTTATCAGTTTGATTTTTTGGACAATGACACGTAGCAGTTAATATTAATTGAAATGTCAATAAATTAGGCTTAAGTGAAATTTAATCACTGATAATTTCACTTATATTAATTGCTATTAATAACACTGATAATTTGACTTATATTAATTGCTATTAATAAAAGAAGATAAATTGCTTCAATGCTTATAATTGCTAGCAATGTCAAAAAAAAAAATTGAATTATCTGAGTAATTTGATTACTAACAATTAAGCAATATGAAAAGAATTGGATTATTTAAGTAATTTCAAATTCATAAGCGTTAAAAACAACAAAGAATACCGGCATAATGATCCGCCACAACAAAAACAACAACAACAATAGAAGCAAAATGACATGGCGAACATACCAAGGAATAATACTAAATTTTCTCGAACTTTTCCTAAAATTTAACACATAGTATTAATTAAATACAATTTAAACCTGAAAAAAAATTAACATAATTTGATTCAAAATATAACCCAAAATTTTTCTAAAATCATATTATTGTTACTTAAAAAAGCTTAAAAATATCGCACTTAAAAACTTGAAATTTTAATCAAAAAATTAGCATAAACAAAAAAATAGAATCATTAAGAAAAAACTACCTTCTAACCAATAGTGATTGTTTTCGTCATGCGAATCAAGTAGTACTCGGCATGTAATAATTATTGTTATATTCAAAAGCATTACCTTAAAAAGAAAGTATTCATAGACTTTTTAAATTTAAAAAATATTTTGAAAATTCAAAAAAATGAATTCATACTTTTAGAGCTTTTTTAAAACTTTTAAAATTTATGTGTGAAATACAACTTTGCTTTCACTTTTTAACGCAATTAAAAGAGGTACTATTCAGTCTTAAATTTTATCAATGTTTTTTACTAGAAAATAATACCTAATTGTTTGGATTTATTAATAAACATTTACTAAAGTAACTTAAAACCTTTTTGTTATGAAGTTGTCCAATCGTCCTTTGAAAAGATGAAAAGCTTAATTTTATTTTCATATACAAATTGTAATTTTAATTTTCTTCCTCAAAATTTTCTTTTTATTTTACATTGTGATTTATCTATTCATTGTGAGATAACCTAATTATAATAGTTAAAAGTTTTATTTTTGACAAAATTTTTGAATCTTAAGTTTAGACGTTTCATTTTCTTTCAACTTATTCATTACTTCACAGAAGTTTATCATAAAGTTTATCATTAATTATCACTGATACATATATGCGTATATGACTAATAGAAAGTGGAGAAAAAAAACGAAAAGAAAGGTGATACCAATGTGATAATAGTGATAGTATAACCCCAATTCTTTGGTTTTCCAGGTTCTTCTTCTTCAAACATTTTTAACAGCTTGAGAAGTAGCGGAACTAAAATTTAAAATTATTAATTTAATTATAGCTTAATTCACAGACAATCAAATAATGCTGTTTTAATTAATTTTTAAAGTTCATATTTTTAGCTATTCACATTTAATTCAATTAGTTATTTGCAAAATAAACAACAAATACATCATTATTATTAATATTGAAATAATTTATTAGCCAAATTTTAATCGGGCAAAATATTGGTGCTTCCATTTTCGACTTCTTTAATTGGGATATCATTTTAGGAATATTAAAAAAGAAGCCACCATTCCTTATTGTATACACTACATTACAAAGATGTATACATTTGAAAAAAAAAAAAATTAAAATTTAAAATTTTTTTGAAATACAAAGTTTTTAAAATATAAATAATTGTTTCTACTTTGGCTATCATTACATATTTTACAGAAACTTTTTTTAGACAAATTTGTAAAAAAAGAGAAAAAGAGTAAAAAAAGAATTCACAAAGTTAGCTTCTTTAAAAAATTTTTTTTTAAAAAAAAGAGACAAAAAAAAAAAAAAAAAATTAGATTAGAAAAGTAATATATCATTTCATCATTACTGTTCGCTTTAATCATTTTTTTCTTTTTATTTGTAGCGAAATATTTGTCCTTCGCTTCTAATTCAAATAAGCAATTTTTTAATTCAAATAAATAGAAAAGGAAAGAGTAAAGTACTAGCAAATTTGATAATTAACACTTTGCCAAATGTTTTTTTTCCTCTTTGATAGGAATAAAAAATCTTGCAATTAATGTAAATTTTTTTCATCTCTTTTGATTTATCATCAATTTTCTTTTTTCTTTTTTTTGTGGCACTAATTTTTAGTAAATAATTTTTTTATCAAGTTATTTTAAGTTTGGTAAAAGAAATTATTAATTGGAATAAATAACGAAGGGAAATGACAATTAATTAGAATAAATATGAAATGTAAGCAGTTAAAGTTTGTGAATAAGAAAAAAAAAAAAAAAAGTGAAATCAATGAATTGTTACGATACAAATAAAAATTTCGCGCTTTGATTCAAAACTTAGAAAAAAAAAAAAAAGAAAGTGAAATGTCATTGTAGATAAGGTAGTTTGAGTCAATACTTAGATGTTTCTGCATGTCCTCTTGTAAAGTGAACTGTGAGTTTATCAAAAGTTTCATTAAATTATTACAAAATATGAAAGTTTAATTTCATTCGAGTTTGTAAGCTTTCTAATCTTCTCTAAAAGCTATTGTAATAAGAATATTGGATATTTAAAAAAAAAAAAAAAAAAAAAAATCATCGCTTAATACAAATAAATTCAATCTGAAACCTGCTTGTAAAACATTTCAAATTTGATTGGCCTGAAATTTTAATTGTTAATTGCAGATTCAATTTTTCCACCTTACCAACAATTAAATAATAGAAATTAATCTATTCAAGAATGGTATTTAACCTTTAGACTTAATACTTCAAACAAATTTTGATAAATGATTTCATTGATTTTTCAAACTACTAGAAATAATTAGCAAATTCTTAAATAACAATGATAATAATAAACTAAATGTTTAAAAATTCATTCCCTTTAACTTATTTAAGTTATCATTTCATCATTGTATCTTTCTGCCATTATATTACATAAGTCTACTGCATACTGTAATAATTTATTTGTTATTACTATAATCTCTTTCATACTATGTTAATCTATTTGAAACTAAATTTAATCTAAATTTGTTGCTACATTAATCAATTCCATACTATATGGTTCCATTTAATACTATGTTAATCCATTTCATGTGGTTTTCTTTTTTTTTTTTTTTTTTTTTACGTGTTTATATACTAACTTTTTCACTTAACAAATGAGATAGTAACTAATCAAAGAAAGGAAAAAAAAAAAAAGACGAAGAAAGGAAGAAAAAGAAAGAAAGAAAAAGTAAGGCTAAGAAAAATGAAAGTTAAATATTATAAAATTACAAAGTCAATTGAATATTACAACAACTGTAAGCCAAATTCTATTGTCATCCTGTCATCATTTATACGTTCAATATTTGCATCTAACTCTTATTGAATAGTAATAATATATATTTGTCCAACGATGACAATGTCCAATCATTCTTTTTCTCCTTCTTCTTTTCTATAATCATTTTAGAGGGTGAATAATACTAATATTTACTTTACATTTGTTGTTATGGATATGTTTTTGATCTTTTCAGTAAATTTAACTATAATTTTTCATGCTTGAAATGAAAATATTGATCATTCATCTATGTTTATGGATGAAAAAAAAAAAAAAAATCGTCATTCTCGATTGAAATGGAAATATTGACCATTCATGTCTAAAATAGAGAAATTGATCATTCATCTTTTAAGAAAGAAGAATTGATCATTTGATTAAAATGAAAAAAAGAAAATCGATCATTCGTTCATTCATGCTTAAGGCAAACCAATCAATCGTTTATATACGTTTATGCAACAATTGTAATTGCAATGAAAAGTACCGATTGTTCTCATTTTGTAAAATGAAACAAATCGATAAATCATAGCTATAATAAATTGATGTGATTAATTAGTTGAAATGATCTGTACTAAAAGATCTAAAATTTGTGTTATTAGAGAAAGATGTTTGATACGATAAGATATTGCGCAAGTAATTTATCAATTATCAGTGCTACAAAGTTATTATATTTGTTATAATATTATTCTTTCGCTCATTTTATGAAATTTTAGGAAATTTGTTGTAGTTTTTCACAAAATTAGCACCATAATCATTAATTAAAATTTATAAAAAGAATAAATTAAACTTTTTCACCAATTAATAGTCTTGGTAAGTAAAATTTTCTAAATTCAATAAAAGATAAAAAAAGACTGAAACTTTCAAATAACTAGATTAAAATTTTGGACAAAAAAAAAAACACATAAAATCGAAAGTTAAGAAAAAATTATCTATGATTTTTTACATTGAATATAATCATTTAAGAGTATAATAAAATTGTATTTACTTTTCAGATTATTCCTAAACAAATAAATAAATTTCATTTCCAATCGTTATGAATCTATTAAATTTACATCTCATTTATATGCTCAAAAAAAAAAAAAAAAACACATAATTTAATTTCTTAGTGAAATCTAAAAAGGCAACAACGATAGTAATAGATTTTAAATTACTGCGATAAATGTTGTTGCCGCTGTTGCTACCGCTGCTATCACTATTATTGTCGCAGTAATCTTGATTATCGATATTTTATTATCAATATTGTTAGAGCAACCATTTCTACTAATACTGCTATGGATGTGATCAAAAAGGAATCTTCCACGAATTCCTATTATTTTTTTCATTTTTTTCTGCGTGCAATACATTTAACATTCTTAAAATGAGAATGTATCTTTTTTTATTTGCAATTTAAATGCGATGAAAATTAAATTTTACTACAATTTTTTTAAACAATTTTTTAATAAAAACTTGTGTTTGATCGTCAATTATTTTTTGTTAGCATTTTTTTTTTAAATTAATTACTAAACAATAGGTGATAATCGCATATATTAAGATATGATTTTATCGTCATATTTAACAAGGAATAGTCATAATTAATAGCTAATTAAAATAAATTAATTGAGTTTTACCTTAAATGTAATGCAAAAAAGTGCAATATTACAATATTACATTATCATAATTATCAATAGATACCTGTTTTTTCTTTTTTTTTCTTTTTGGCTTGAATCAATAAGCAATGATAAATTAAGGACTTTTTTTTGTTATCATGAATAAATTATAATCTTCATACAGATCAATCAATTACATAGCATTGTACTGTATCATGCATACTACTTTCTCATAAAGTATATTTAAGAACAATTTTGATAATACAATTATTTCATTTTTTGAATTAGACCAAAGATAAATTCTGATGACTTTCCTAATTAGTTTAGACTTCCTTATTAAGACTTAAAGAACTTTCTATAAATGTGTGGGAGAATAAAATTCAAATTATAGTTTAAATATGATAAGATGATATGATGGAATAACAAAAAGTCACAAAGTAGGTAGTTTTTAAATATTGCCTAATTCATTAAATATCCTCAGGTGAAATGATCATTTTAAGCAGCACTTGGACATTTTTGTCCCAATAGGTCCTTCAATCTTAACGGTCATTTTGTTTTGGCTAATGGTCTCAATTTGTCATCTGCTATAAACATTAGCACTTTTTCGGTAGAGAAAAAGATACCTAGTCTATCTGGTCTCGTTATCTTCTTAAAGAGAAAGTCGTTATCTCTATGCTATCTAATACATCTCGAGAATCTCAAAATCTTAAAGTTATTTAATACATCTCAAGAGCCATTTGCATTTAGGAAATTGAAAAGTGATGCATAGGACTTTAACCATAAGTATAATTGCACTAAAGAACTGTAAGTCAATTTTTAAAATGTCTATTTCGTTTTGTTCTATTTCTAACGATAACAAATCATTTCATGTTAATTTACTAAATTTTGTTTTTCTCATTATTATCAATATTTTTATGATCAACAATTTTACAATCACCGTTTTTCGTTTTTTCAAAATTTCTCTTTCTAACAATTATACCGTAATCGAGCATACTGTAAACCATATCAATTACTGATTTCTTGATGGGCATGTATTCCATTTGAAGAAGCTGTCGCGACTGGAAGAAAAAAAGGAAGTGAAAGAAGAAGACAAAGACAGAAACGATTGAAAAATCTTTTTTTTTTTTTACAAAATTAACTAAAATAATCTCATTCTGAATCTGTTATATAAAAATATCCGTTTAAATTACTTGTCAAAAGAAGGGAAAAGCAAATTAAAAAATTTTGCATCAAATTTTCTAATTAAATGAGACTTAAAAATTTTTTTTTCCAAAATTTTCAAATCTCAATTTATTACTTTGAAATGATATGTAGAAAAACAAAAAAAAAAAAAAAAAAAAAGCAAACTTTCAATTACTTACAAATTGATATTACCTCTTAAATTAGAAAAGGGAAAAAATTCTGATTACGCTAAGCAATTTCTTTTAATTTTAATTTCTTTTTTACCTTTGTATTATCAAAATGTAATTTTGTTCCTAAGCGATACTTCACTGCTTCAAAATGTGGATCACATGTCATCTTAGCATATAATTTTGCTAACCAATTTGGTGTTGTTACACGTGAAATTAAGAAACCTGAAATTTTATTTCTTTCATTAAAAAATTACATTTTTAAAATTAAATCTTTAATATAATAAAAATAGCATAAGTTTTTTTTTCTCTTTTTTATATGCACATAAATGAATAATAATAATAATATGATATCAGTCTTACCAATCAGATGAATTTGCAATAGTTAACACAAAAAAACAAAAAGAAACAATGATACATTTGCGCTTAAATAATTATTTTGAAAATTAAAATATTAATATTAATTCACTCACTTACCTTGACTTTTAAATTCGTCATGAAGCCAACGAGTTAATTGTGAGAACCAAACTGATGGTGTTGCTGTTATGAGAATTCGTTCACCATTACAATTAGCACATTCCATTGCTCGTATATGTGCACGTGCGACATCACGCACGTCAACCATACCAAGTGAAACTTTTGGCGCTGCAGGAAAAGTATGATAATCCATCATTCGCCGAATAATCTGGAAGCAAATATTAGGGTATATTTGATTTTCAAGATGGAAATTTGTTTAAAAATAGATTATAATATAAATCATATATTTGAATACTTTAAATATGCTTAAATTTCTACTACTTCTGACATTTTGAAATTATTGCACTATGTATGAGAAAAAGAAGGATTTAACAAAGTAGAAAGTTTGTAGAGAAATAAATGACAAACTTTAGCACTTCCATGTCTTTGATCTGAAAGTACTGGGCCAATCACAAATGACGGATTTAGCACAGTTAATTGGAACCGTGACGCTTCTAAAATAGAAAAAGGATAATAAAGTATAGAAGTAATAACTATTCAATTAGACAATTTTAATATTTGTTAGTTAAAAATTAATTATTGAAAAAATGAGAATGGCGAAGAAAAAAACACTGTCATTAATCAGTTTTTCCCAAATTATTTATTAAAAAAATTTTTTTTTGAAATGAAATTAAAAAAAAAACATCAATTTAATTAATTCAAATAACCTGGCAAAGATTTCCAAAATTCCCATGCAGCTTTTTCGGCAATTATTTTTGAACGACTGTAATTTTCAATTCGTTTACTATTCAAATTTCCCCAACAATTTTCGTCAAAAACTCGAGCATCATTTTTATGACCATCTATTAAAATATGTAAACGATTTAACTGTAAGTATTAGTTTATTAATTATTCAACAAGTAAGATCCACTACAAAAATGATTAATATATAATTATACGTAACTTATTTGAAGTGTTTGGACTTAATTTAACTGTGAGTACTGGTTTATTTTTAAGTATTTAAACGTAATTTACTTAGATATACTATTTTAAATTCTTGCTTATTCACTCACAAGTATTACCATTTATAGCAGCTGTACTGCTAGTTAGGACAATTTTCTGGACGGTACTACATTGAGCAGCAGCTTTTAAAACATTTAAAGTACCATCCTTGGCAATTCTTATAGTTGTCTCATCAGCTACAATAGGCCATGGTGATGCAATATGCAGAATATATGTGCATCCTTCAATTGCTCTGAAATTTTAGAATGAATTTTAAAAACCTGTAAATATAAGTACTTAAGTTTTTTGTTAACTTCCACGTCATCATTAAAAAAGTTGTGTTAAAATTTTACTGTCATTATTAAAAATTTGTGTTAAAATTTGAATAAAACAAGAAGAGAGATTTAGAAGAAAAAAATTTTTCTTTACTTTGGCCAATGATCCGGACATTCAAGATCAGCTTCAACCAATTCAAGCCTTTCTGAGCTATGTTTCAGATCACGAAGTGAACTAATCTACAACAAGAAGTTTAAATTTTTTTATCGTTTATCATTTAGCATTAAATTTGTTATGATTTAACGATCAAACTATTACATATTCTATGAAAGTAGTCCGTACCTTATGAAATAATATTAATCATTTTTACATCTATTTTTCAATAAACTAACAATTAATTTATCTATCTTGACTTACAGTTAATATGATAAATATCAAAGATAAAAGTTTAAATCTTCAATTTCATAGCGTTTCGAACATGTTTTATTGTTGAGAAAAAAGAAAATATACGATATATACCGCAATGAAAAAAAAAAAATCTTTTATTATAGATATCAAAAAAACAAAATAAATTCCAATTATTACAACACGTTTCATTAAGAAATAACTCTAAAACAGTCATTTGTCAAAATAAAATTTCAGTTTTTGCTAAAAAAAAAAAAAAAAAAAAAAAAAAAAAAAAAAATAATTAAATAACCTTTGATGAGTTTTGTAGACTTCGTACTGTACCTCTTACCGTATAACCATTTTCTAGAAGTTGTTGAACACAGTGCAATGCTATATAACCTGATGCACCGGTAACCAGTACAACTGAAATGTTTCATAGATTGCATTTATGAATAATCGCATAAATTTTTTAAACTTTTTTTCAGTTCAATTTCATTTATTTCAAGAATCTTACCATCAAAATTACATTAACATTATTGAGTTAGGCTATTTGAAATGATTAAAAAAAAAATCAGAATCGGTTGAAGCAGAAATAACAAAACTGCTAATTAGCTAATAACTTTTGATCGATTGCATTAATAAATAAAATTTAAAATCTTATTTCGTTCATTTTCAATTGCTAATTGTAATTGAATTAGCTCCATATGTTTTTAGCTAAGTAAAATAAAATACTAAAAAACTGCTGTTATCGATTCTAAAACCAAAAAAAAAAAAGAAATTGTAATCTAAGAAAAAAAGAATGGATCTATTTTGGCAAACGATTCCCACAGTCATATAATTATTATTTATTGATTAAAATTAAATCGCATTACATTATTTAATTTTTTAAATCATTAGAATTTCACTTATAAGCAAATTAAAAAAAGGACCGAAAAAAATTACCAATTTTTTCATTGTCTTTAAACGAATCAATGATGGCAACCATCTGTAATAATGATATTGAGTAGTTAATTAAAATGGAATAAGAAAAAAAGAATAAAGGAAAAAGGATGAAATTTAAACGAAATAAATAAATCCGGTCGGACGATATTACCCAAAATGTTTATGCTTTCAAAATGTTCAAATTTGCTATTATCATTCTTTTTCTTCTTCCTTTTTCTTTTTTTCTGGGTATAACATTTTTGCTAGCCGTTGCAATGAGAAGTATTACCATAATTGTTACCAAACAGGTTTTTTTTAAAAAAAAAAAGTCCTATTCTTTTCGTATTTGCAAGAAGAAATTTCTAAAAATGAAAAAAAAAATGCATTAGTATAAAAAAAAGACAAAACAAGCAAACAAAATACAATGAATGATATAAATAATGAACAAAGAGTAAAAAAATAATAATACAATATATTCAAAGATCAGACTTTTTTGAGCTTTTTTTTTTCACCATCATCGTAATGATTATCAATGTTATCATTACTATTATTATTATCATTATCAATATTACTATTATTATTGCCATTACTAATAACTAATGAATGGAAAGTGGAAATGAAAAAGAAAATATCTATTTAGGATAGAAAAATTCGATGATAATAATCATTAATGTAGAAAATTATGCATTCAATATATTTTTGATAATTGGTAAGTCACGAAAGTAGTATTTGCAAATGATATGATGCTGGCAATCGAAGTGATTATGACAGTGTTTTGATTATATAATAATAATATTGTTGTGTCTGATTATCAACATTTAGTTAATGTACAGCCAGAGTGATAAGGGTGAAATTTTTGTATCAGTTGTAATCCTAACAGGACAAACAAATTTGTTAGCCAACAAAATTAAATAATAAATGAAACAAAAATATGAATTTAACTTATCTATGCAACCTTTTATTACAATGATAATATTGTTGTGTATATATAGTGAAAATGCTGACATTGTTAGCAATAACTATTAAACAACTATTTATATGAAACATTAATAGTAATGCTTATAACTACGATAATATAAGGTATTAGTAATGACAAGATAATGGTAATAATGATAATAGTGACATTAATACTAACGGCGGCAATAATAGTAGTGGTAATGATAATAATAATGTTAACAGTAATAACAGCAGTAGCAATAGTTATAATCATAATAGTAATAATAGTTCTATAAATGTAGAAATAAGAGAAAAGTTATTGCTGCGCATACGTTTAAATTATTCTACTAACATTTAAATCCTGTTTTTGATTTTGGGTCAATCAAAATAGTGAAATTTGAAGTTTGGAAGGTTTCTAAATGCATGCAAAAGATTTATATGAAATTATGATCTTCATTTTTCATGTTCACTCTTCATTTATTCATCTGATTAACTTTTGCTCTTTTTTCATCATTTGACTCACTTCAATCTGCTAAATATGCTCAACCACACATATGAACATTTGAAACTTTAAGTGATAAATTAAATAGTAAAATTAGTTTTTGAAATCTTAATTTGAATCAAAAATTCCATCAAAAGCATCTATCCATAACAATAATAACAATAACGATTTGTATAAAATGATAGTCATTGTTATAACTGATAATAAATATATTGTTATCATGCAGAAACTCTTTACTGTAATTAACTTTAAACCAGCATTTTATCAATATTACTAGTAAAACTATAGCTATAATTCTTATTGCAGTTGTTGATTACTGTACTTAAACTTTTACAAAATTGAAAAATACTATGCTACTGGTATTCAAATCACTTCTAACATTATTACTTTCAACAGTAACACTACCATAATGAACGCAAATTTTGTTAAAATTTAATTTCGCTTTCTTCTCATTTTTCCAGTTCTTTTTGTTTATTTTTTTAAAAAGAAAAAAGAAAAAAAAAACGAATAAAATTTTATAGACAAATAATTGAATAAAAAATGAGAAAAAAGCAAACTAACAGAAATTAAGTTTGCATTCCTCAATTACATCTATTTATTATGCAATAATGTATTTCTACAATATTTATATACAAACATATACTCAATTCATTCATTCATTCATTTGATTTATTGTTGAAAAGTTATTCACTTTCGATGAATAAATTTTTGATTTTTGATCATGGTAAATTCATGAAATGACCATATGATTTGTTTTATTTTATTTATGGATTGTGCAAAAAAAAAAAGCATAAAAAGTAAAAAAAGCAAAAAAGAGCGAAAAAAAACTCGAATAAATTAATTAGTATAATATCACCATGAAATGAAAAAACTGCTTCTTCTGATAATATTTTATTCATTATTAATGGCATTTATTCTTTAAATTCATTATAATTATTTTTGGAAATATTCCCAATGTCCAAATTTTTACATTAAATAATTAATGCAGGGTTGTACTTTTTTTTTTTTTTTTTTGCTTTTTGTTCTATACTAAATATTACAAATATTGTTTTAAATTTTGTAAGTGATTTTATAAAAAATTACTGAAATTTAATGGGTCAAAATATTTCTATTGTTCAAATATTTGCATTTAGAAATTATTCAGATATTCTACATTACTTTTTTCTTTGTATTAAACTTTACAGTTACTAGTAATTGTATTCAATTTGTTTGTTCATTCATTCAAATTTTTTAAAATTCTTAAGTTGTCGTATGATAATACACTTTAAGTGTTTAAAATCACAAATTGATGGAAATTTGTTATTCATTTCTCGTAATATTGAAATATTTAATTTAAATAATGTTCTAATAAATAAAAATTAACATTTTCACATTACAGATGCATTCCTTAAATATAACACACGGACTTATTCAGCAAACTTATGATGGAATAGTTAACCCATCAAATCCTCACAACAAGAAAGACGAGTTATATTAAAGGAGAAGACGAAATTTTATCATATTTAATAAATCATTTGATTGCATTTGGATTATTAAAAAAATTAAGAAAAAAACAAACGATTTAATAGAATTTCACAAAATTTTAAATAATTAATTGAAATTTTCAATGTGTCACGGAAAGGAATGTTTATTATTTATTAATTTTATAACAATATCAATAAATTTAATTAATAATAAAACATAAGATTGAAAATTTTTAATTTAAAAAGAAAAGATAGGAAAAAAAAAAGATGTTTAATGAACTGAAAAAGGAATTATTCCAACAATGATTGAAAGTGAAGAAAGAAACAAGCGATTTTGCTGATCAACAATACAACTTTTTAAACTCATCGCATCTAACCGATAAACGCAAACGAAATTGTGTCAAACCTGTTCATCAGCAGAACATATATCATTACTTTTTGAAAATATCACACGTTCGCAAAATTCTCAGAGTAATTAATTTTTATTTTTCTTTGCTTTTTTTTTTTCTCATACTTAGTGAAATGGGTGAAATTTTGCTCAGACATTAATAAAACTAATATGGCAACGAAAAAAGAAAAAAGAAAAATTGATTGTACAATAAAATTGTGATTTTTTTCTTTTCCTTTATTCAAATATACCTTTTGAATTTTGATATGGATAATCAACCAATATTGAGCTTTCAGTATTACATATACATTTCAAATAGATTATCAATCAATATTGTGGTCTATTTTTATTAGATATTTATAAATAAATTATCAATCAATCTTGTAATCTTCTAGCGTTAGACATATGATTTAAAAGATTTCTTTATTATAACACTGTTTCAGTTAATTTATTTCCTATCATCTTATTATTTATTATGTAACTGATATTTCATCAAAGATTTATTTAAAAAAAGAAAAAAAAAATATTGCACGCTATCAAATTAATTGATTACATTAGAATACAGCAAAGTAAAACAACCACACAACACTGATAATCTAAAAGTGTACTAAACATAGAAATAAAAAATGTGATTTTAATGCTTAGGGCTGAGAAATTAAAATCATAATTTTTAGCTATTAATTTAAATTAAAGAAAGTTTTTTAAATGACCTTTACACATTTCCTCCCTTCATTTTACTAGAATTTAAGAAAATCATGCAAATTTCTTACTTCCAGGTAATCAAATTCAAATTTTCATTTATCGAAAAGAAAAAACGATTGCGCTTAAATAAAAGGAAAAAAAAAAAAAGAAAAAAAATGCAAACCACCGGTCCTCTCAGCCGCATTTCTTTCCAGCAAATGTGAAGAAGAAAAAATTGAAAACACATTTAATTTTTGCACTCTATCTTTTATAAGAAAATTCACTATTGTTAGAAAAAGAAAGCTTTCGAACAAAAAGACGCAAAAGAGGATCAAATCAAGAAATCTGGCGAAGATGAAAATGAATAAAATCTATTTTATACTATAAAAATTTTTCGTAGAAAAATATGAGGGAAATAAGGAAAACATGAGATACAAGATAGCGGATTTGCCGAAAATACAAATTTAAATGGAGAAATTCTTTCAATTCATTATTTTAACATTTGTGATAATGATTTCCATTTCCAGTTTGAATTAAAATAAAATAAATTAGAGATAACTGATACTCAATTCTCACTCAAAAGATGAACTGAGCTCTTGGACATTCGACCGTTGAATATTAACAATAACAAAAATAGAATTGAAAAAAAAAAAATAACAATAGTAATAATAATGAGAACCATAATAATATTATAAATGGACACTGAATAATAATAAATAGCAAATCATGTATAGTAATAACAATAATAATAAAACGAATAATAATAACAATAATAATACTGCGAATTCTATCCAATAAAATATTCGGATAAATTGAACAAAGAAATGGAAATAATAAAATTTGCATATTTATTCATAATAAGTGCATTATTAAAAAATTGTGTCAATTGGATGTATAACAAATACTTAGAGAAGGAATCATTATAATATTTGAATAAAAAGCAAACATTTGTGGAAGGAATTTTATTTAAAGGGAATAATTGTATTAAATCAAATTTAATTCAAATAATTAGTGTAAAAAAATTGGTTTTGATTTGTAAAGTACAGATTTAATGCAATAGTAAAATAAAAAATGAAAGAAAAACTAAACGACGATTGAATATAAATAAAAATTTTTAAAAAGACATAAAAAGATTAAAAAGATTTATTATATATTCATTTCAAAATTATATATATATATATATATAGCTAAAATATTCAAAAAACAAAAAAAACAAAAAAAACAAAAAACAAACAAAAAATTGAAAAAATAGAAGTAGTATTATTTTATTATAATTGTAATATGAGAGAGAAAAAAAATTTTCTTTTAATATTTTTACTAATTTTTGAAACCAATTATTCCTGTTCCTTCTATTTCTTTTCATATATTTCAGTTCTATTTAGTGTCCTTTAACCATATAATTCTAAATTAATAATTTTTCCAATGTTAATTTGGAAAGACTATGAACTGAATATTTTCTTATTTCTTTGAACCATTCGTTTTGAAATTAATAAAATTGTATTAAAGAATGACAAATTAATAATATTGAAGTTTTTCATGCGTAGTCATTTCTAAACCAATAATTGTTACATGCATAATATCTCAACCACATAGGTTGCAGGATTTTTTAAAAAAAAGAAAACCTATATTCTACTATGTAATACCATAAAATAATTTTACTATACAATATCCATTTTCTATAATCATTTATTTGCTAAATCTTTGCAATTACAAACGTTATTGACATCTCATTCTTGCAACAATTTTACGTTTTCTTTGACAATTTTTGGAAATTTAACGTCACTATTTTTATTATTAAAAATACTACTGCTATTATTTTATATTATTATTGTTAATATTGTTATTATTGCTAGAAGTAATTAATTTGATTTACTATCAATATGTATCACAATATACATAAATTACACCTACAAATTCAAAAACCAGTCGGCGAACGTATCGCAGTTAATTATTAATGCATTCGGATTAATAATAACACTGGACATAATTCACTATTATTAGATCACTTATTCCTGTCACCAATAATGTTATTCTATCATTAGTTTTTTCTTTTTTTGACAAAGTACTCCTTTTATATTTGTTTTGTTACATTTTAAAATTAATATATACGAGGATAATTTAGTCTAACTTCTGTCATAGAAATATGAATAATCAAAATAATTCAATATCTTTGTATCTAATCCTCGAAATCCATGACAAAAAGCAGGAATTCAAGCTATTTCAGAAATATATGAAATAAAATTAGAAGAAATAAATGATTAATATAGCTGCATTCATAATTAATAAATCGTAATAATTACTAAAGTTACTAGCAAAGTAAAAATTTTTTAAAATCAAATGCAAATAAAAATCTTTTTTTTTTTTCTCCTAGTGAATAACACTGGAAGCACAAAATAGAACACTATCGAAAATAGAACATTTAATTCTTCATTATATCAAATAATTCAGGAAGGTGAAATATAAATGAATAATTTGTACAAAAAAGTGAGGTAGGAACAATTATTTAAACTTAGTTTAATGACTCATTTATCTTTTATCAATTCATAAAATCTTCTAATCTTTTACTACAACTGTGACAATATTAAAAATCACTGAGTGTAACATTTTGCGAATAAAATATTTAATTGCATTTATGCGTTACCAAGCTCTTATCTTTAATTTTAGTCAATAAATATACCAAATTTTCTAAGTTCAAATGCAAATGACATAACATTGTACAAGTGGAATGGTAACGAGTTGTTTCATAATGTTTTCAAACAAACTGCAACAGCTTTCGATAACAGTTGACGATTTTCTCGACTTGAACTACTAATAACTGTTCGAAAACCGCCATTTTTAATACATACAGAAGCGTTAAGAGTATCCTGAAATTATATAAGTTAAATTCGTAAATAAGTGAATCAGCAAATTAGTCATGCAAAAAGACTGGATGATAAATAATCCCTGGAATTATCTATTGCAATGATATTTAAAATTTTGCTCTTTTCTGATTATTAATCACTTTACATTCACCATTTAAAAACAATGTTTGGTATCTAATACAAGATCTAAATAAAGCGAAGAAATAAAAATATAAACGCTTACACATGTGAAACAAACATTCCCATTAATTTCACTCCGTGAATATTTCAAATTCATCTGAAAATACCAACTGAATAAATACAAAATCTGGCATAATAAATGAAACTACTAGATGAATACTAGTGCTACATTATCATTTTAAAGTACATGTTACATTAATATTTTATGAGGAATATGATAGGACACGAGACAATTCCTTTTGATCCATATTTAAATTAAGCAGTTGACAATGTGCATAGGAATAGTTATAAAGTCGAAAATCTTTCCTATTTCATTATTCAGTGAATTGAAATCAAAGAAAAATTCGACAGCAAAGCAAATTTACCTTTCCTAAAGCTTGAGCGAATGTTTCAGCACTCAGTTTTCCAACACAAACATTCCTTATTTTTGAGTTCATATCTGGCTAAAAATAGCTAGGCGAAGTACTAAATAGACGCTGGACTTTCCGAAAAAAAAAAAAAAAAAACTCACTGAATTGATAGCAACTTACATTAAGCTCCAAAATATTATCATATACTGAAAGAATTCCCTTGAGTGACGAAAGTCCAATGTCACCATGATCATAATGTCCACGTAACTCAATACATCGAAGAGTCTGAAAGCTAATATTAATAGTAAGAAAGAATAGAATATATAATTATAATTACTTGACTTCCAGTCGATAATAATGGAGTTTATTTAAAACGAAAATGCCTTTTCTAGGAAATGTGTCTAGCTCATTTCTAAATATTCAGCTTTCACAAAAGCAGTCTCCATCAGTTTTTCTCAAAATTTCGACCGTCTCTTACTACATAGCTGAGAAGTCGAATAAACCAGTTTAATTACCAAATACTATTACAAACAAATAAAGTAGTACAATTCGTTCTGCAAAAAAAAGAAAAAAAAAACATACGTCTGGATGTAAACGAACTCTTTTTGTTTTTGCTGTCGAAGGTATCGTAAAAGTGTCGCCATAACGAAAAGTAGCTCTCGCATTCTATGAATAAAAATTAAACTTATTTTCATAACTTTATTACAGATAGCACTTGATTCAGTGCAAGAAAGAAAAAATTCAAACACAAACCTTCAGAAACAACTCTGGATTTACAAACTTTGCTAAAAAACACAAAATGATGTGCAACAAAATAAACTATTCACACAATTTACAGCTGTTTTTTGTTGTTATTGCAACTACATTTCCACATTTACTTAGATGAAAAAAGTAAGCAAAAAAAAAAAAAAAAAAAAAACAAAAAATACAAGAAAAAAACGCTTACATATGCAACAACAAAATCGGTACGTTGAGATGAATTTGGTGGCGGTTGTGTGTAAACTTCGGGCATAACCAAAAGCTTTGGCGCTAAATCCGGCAATATAGAAGGATTAAGCTGTGAAAAATCTAACCTTGTCTCAATTGGAAAGAAAAAAGCACGTATTGAAAGTTTTTCATATGGTCCATACACATTCTGAATTGGATAATCTGGATCTAAAACGAAAGTTTCTTGATGAAATTTATGAGTTCTCTGAATTCAAACTAACATACAATCTAACCAAAGAGTGATTTATAGTAAACGATTGATATTGTAAACTACACCTAAAAGAAAATAATGCGTGATGTGATAATGTATATTTGAACAAATCGTGTTTAATTTTTTACTTTTTTCAAATGATCAAATTGAAGAATTAAAATTTTACCTGTCATAATCAGTGCATTCTTTGAATCATTCCCCCACATTTCTAGAAAATGTACAGCATTACCGATTCGTAATGAAGGATGTCCAGTAAAAATAACACATGGAGTTCGCATTTGTCGACAAAAATCCCCATAAATATTATCATAAACTTTTAAGCGACCATTTCTTGAAGTCTAAAAAAAAAAGATGAAATGTCCGAAATTTATTTCAGTGTCATGAGTTAAAAATAAATTTAAATATTTTGCTATTTACGGGTAATATTCCTTCATAAACAGCGCATCTATCTTAGTGGCCTATCCTATTATTGTAGCATCAATTGTTGGTACAATAAAACGAAAATCATACGTAAATAGAACATGAAATGACTGATTATTAACAATTTTTCTTAATTTAATTGAAAAATCTTCTGAACAAAAAAGTACCAGTCCATGTTTAAATGGCTCTTCTGGTATATTCACCATACTTTGCTTCTTTTCAGATAACCATTCAACATAAATATTTGAATATGCTAAAGTACTCTCGGCAACTGGTGAAATAAAATATACAGGAACATCCACTGGTACATCATGCTTGAAATAGTTTATTACGACTAACAAAATCCGATAAATATGATGCATTTTCCAAAAGGTTCAAAATGACTTTAAAACACGAATTATACAATTATGTAAGTTTCTTTACCTGATCTAACTGCATCGAAATAACTTCAAGCAAATCGTAAAGTATACCCGTTGGACAAATTGGCATCAATACAGAACCATTTCTCTTAAGTGTATCAGCGATGACAGCAAATGCATGGCATACCTTAAATTTAAAGCCTAATGGTGGTGTTATGACAATGATTTGCCTCGAAATATCAATATATAATAAATGGATCACACAATTGAAAAGTAAAATTTTAATCTGGAAACATTTATTAATTCGAATAAATGGTAAAAGAAAAAACGTTATTTCGAACACTCACAAAACTTTGCACTTTTTTTGCAAAACTTATCATCAAGGCTACTTTGGTTTCTAGTTCCTTTAAAGTCTTTGGTTTCTCGGTTTAGTCATCAGAATTTTCGTGGTCATCACCCTAATGAATAATCCATAAAGAATATTTTTTATGTAGCATAAAGAACGACTAAACACTAAGAATTCAAGCAATGGAGGTCCCAAATCCTGATCAATAAATTCAACCAATAAATTCATAGATCATGCAAGAGATATTTATTATACTTTTTATCATTTTTTTTCACTCTTAAATTCTCTTTTCGTCTAGCCGAATGGTTAATTTACAGACTACTGATTGAAAGCTAAACAATATAGCACGAAAACATCTGACTGGGAATACTGATCAACTACAAAACGTTGCGTATGCAAGTAACAAAACTTCTTACTGATGTTTCAGGACTATGTTCCGGAAAGCGACAAATGGAAGTCAGTATAAGAGCATCACAACCACGAAGTTGATCCCACTGAACCGGTTTTGTATGTGAATTTCTTGAGGATGTTGCTGACAAATAGCCTATCTGAAAGTGTCAAAAATATTTTCGTAATATGCATGTCGTAATACATAATACGCACGAAAATTCTTATAATTCTAATCACATAGTCATAATTTATGTCAGACATTAAAAGCTTGCAATATCATTTCACTAGAAGAAAAAAGTCACTTTCAACGGTTCAAATTCTTAAAACGATATGTTGAAAAAATATAGAAAGCAGTGGAATAAATTTCTGGAGAATAATTGTACACGCCCCAAAAATGCATATATATATATATACTTCCCGTACATATATAGAATACAATAAGTCTTAAAAGAAATGAATAAATAAGTGATCTGAAAATAAGATACTGAAATAACATAAAATGGAATTCAATTTTATAGAAATGTGTACCTTTTCATGTTCGGTACGGACAATCCAATTACATGATCCTATTGAATAACCACTTGAATATGCCGCAACCGTTGCAGCACCGTGAATGTTCTATAAAATCAAAATACTAATTAATTACTTCCAAAATATGTAGCAAATAAGGCTTACAATTCGGTTAAATTGCCAATCTTTGTTTAGTAACATTAATTTCATAGCATTTTTGTATAATCGTATATCAGAAATATTGATATCATATGTTCCATACAATGTCATTTTATTATTATTTGCAGCATATCGCAATATGCGGGTATGAAGAATCTACCGAATAACTCTAGACATTTGTATCACGGCCAAATAACTCTATATATTTGTATTATGGCTGCGTAATTCTTATGTTCTAAACATATTTGTTGAGTATAATTTAGTCATATATAATTTCCCCTCAACACTTCATCATAATCTTAAGAAATGACAAAACTTTTAAAATCATCATAGTCTGAAAATACTGCTAGATGAAATTTTACTGGAAAATGTCTTAAACTTACAATGGATTCTCGAAATGACACTCGTTGCACTTTTGCCAAGCAATTTTCCATTTGTTCACGACTATAAAATGGTCTCCATTCACGTGGATCACTCGTTGGAACATTAGGGAAACTCCTAAAAACTGAACTATATTGATTTAAGACACAAAACTACCGTTTTGTCCCTTAAATTCCAATATCAAATGGCAATGTATAAAATTAATAAGGTAATGTATAAAATTAATAGTTATCACACAATATTTTTTTAGGCAGGAATTTTAAAGAATAATTCAAGGATATTGCATGCAAAACATACGGACAAACAGAGAAAACTTGCAAAGAACATACATGAACAATGCTGGTTTCTTCCATGAATAGTCTTGTTCCTCTCGATCCACCCTATCGAAGAAATCCAACAATTCTTCCATAACTAATCTTGAAAAAATTAAGCAATTAGCAAAATTAAATGAATTACTTATATAAATATATAATGATTGCTCTGAAGAAATTTTCTCGTTTTACCCCAATAATCCTATTAGATCGAACCGTTATCCCAAATTTAAATTTTAATAAAATATTATAAGGAATATAACGAATATCACTTTAATAACCTTCCGAGTTGAAGTGTTGGATCAGTTGCATAAACGACACCGGTGAATTTTGTTTCTTCTGTAAAAAATGGCAGTGCAAGAAGAGACATCCAATTCGACACCAATATCGCATCTACAGAATCCATTGATGTACAGCAAATCTGAAGAATTGCAACTTTCTTAAACCAACTAAAAATTGATATTAACTATGAAATGAGTGAATAAAAAGATTGGAATAATATGGAAGTAGTTTTAGCTAAGAATAATTCAACTGAAATTTAAAAAAGAAAAAAAAAAAAATTACCTGTGCTGGATGTACCTCAAACGGCCCATCAATAAGGACATGTTCCCCGTGGCGTTTAAGACAATACTTCGGTGCATTTTTTGGATACATTGGTAAGTTTGAAAAAAGTTTACTGAAATTTGAAAACCACATCATAAATATACTACACAATGTATTTGAATAACTATAAAGTTCTCAAAAATAAAAAAAGAAAAAAAAAACAATGTAAGAAAAAAAGAAAACTGCATAGTGGAAGCATTACAAGTGCAAAAACCGCAACTAGCTAGCTGAGGAAAAACTAATAATTCTGCATATGTTTTTTTCCAGCTTGATAAAATTAAAAAAAAAAAAGAGAAAAAACGAAAAAAAAGACTTTTTTATGATAAATGATTTCCAGAAATATAAAAAAGGATAAAATTTTCGAAATATAAAAAAGGATAAAATAAAATGGTAAATTAAACAGGAAAAATTGAATGTAACCTTTTATAAAGCGCAGCTGGAAGAAATGATGAAAGTGCATCCATATTAACAGCACAATCTAATAGTATACATGCCGATGACCATTTCAGTAATAAACATGGCCGATATGGTTGAGGTGATAAAGGTATCTGTAAGAGAATCTTCACCGTACTGACTAAAATTGTCGAATCTAACTTACGCACAAACTGGAAAGTATTTGTGCTATTTTGCAACTCTTTTAATTGTCCAAAAAGTGATCAATGAAAAGTTTGAAAATTTTTATGCAAATACATAACTAGAAGAAATAATATTAAATCATTATGACATCTTAAATTGATAGAGCAAAGCAACTAATTTACTTAACTGATTGAAAAACATCTAATTAGAAAATTCCTGGAGAACTGAATTCATTAGATAATAATCTACTTCTTTTGTAGCAAAAAAAAAAAATCATTAACTGTGCTTATTATAAATTAGCAGCAAGAAAATGCTCACCAATTCCATTATACCCGAACTGCTAGCTTTTGCCAATTACTGGTGACAGTTACACTTCGTTGACAAAAATCGCTGTTTAAAAAAACGAAGATTACTTTGCTCCAATATTAACGCTCTTCATTAAAGAAACAAAATAAAGAGAAAAAATAACTGACAAGATATTATCACTTAAATATTAATCATCATATAACATATTTAAAATTGAGAGAAAAAAAATACCATAAATAAGAATTATTTTAAAATTAATTTGAAAAATGACACAGCAAAATTATTTGGCAGTAAAATAAATTACTAATGCAATTTGCATTATTTCTAATTATCAAACTTCTAATTATCAAACATCTCTTCTACAACCTGCAACGAAAAAAAAAAGAAAAGCAAAGCAGAAGTTAATCCACAAATTATCAGTGCTATTTTCAAAAGTGTCGCATCAATCGCATCTCGAATATAAGCCTACCATTAGCATTCATCAATATTAACGACGAAAATTCGGCAGTATTAGTTCAGTTAATCGTTTTGTAGTTGCTTGTGTGGTAATCTTTCAAACTATTGCATAATTTTAGCCGGATGTCTTGTCCGGTATTTATCCGGCTATTTTGTCCAGTCAAAATCAAGAAATAACGAGAGAGAGAGAAAAAAGGTGAGAGAGGAAGAGAAATATCGCAAGACAAATTGCGATTAACTTTGTCATTTATCTATTTTGATTCATTTTTTAAATTAATCCTGTTTTATTATTATTTGTACTCTTTCCATTTCTTTCTATTATTGCTGTGCTTTCATTTATGTCACTCACACATAATTTAATTTAATTAAATCTTTTTCCTTTCCTTATTTGCATTCATGACTAGTTATTACTTTGTTTTAATTTGATTTCTATTTATAATTTTAAAAACTTCGGAATTTTTTATAATTGCTCTCATTTGCATATTGTTTGTTTCTTTTTTCGGAATAAAGTTAATAGATATTTCTGTTTATTTTTATTTGCACATGTTTTGTCAATTTTAATTTTAAATACCTCATTCACCACTTTTAATTCACTTATTGTATTAACTTGGACTTTTTTTTTCCTGAAATCTTTAGTAAATCTTTATGGAAATGACTTATTTAGTTAATTAATCAAATTACTGATTTCAACGTTGATAGCTTTTACACGTATTTCATGAAATCTTTGAGTTTATTAATGGTCGAAGTAAATACAAATTCATGGGATATTTTGATTCTTTTTTTGACCTAAACGACTTCAAAATTCCCTATTTTACAACAGTTTCGATTCAGTCTGCTTTTTACGAAGCATGCGATTAAATAATGCTGAACGATTAATAATGAAAAAATCAGGATGTAGACAGCAAGTATCACCAGTGTATCCAAGATTGATCCTTAGCTTAAAATATCTAATTTAATTACTGAATAGACCTAATTTGAAATGCTAAAATAATTATAAGTGAGAAGTCGTACACAATAGAATTGTGGTACTACATGCATACTGAACATCAAATGATGGAAGTATTTCAGATGACAACTTTAACGATATCACGATTGTTACGCTTAAATCACACTTCGGATTATGGTACCATCAATGTGCTACGTGAATTCCAAACATTCGGAGGACTTTGTAAGAATAATCGACGACCAAAAATAGACATTGGTGTTGAGATACCTGATGATGGCTTACCGAAAGATTATCGATTACAAGTTTTCAAGGTGAGCAGTCGACGACTTGATTCGATCGTTTCTAGAGCAGTTGGACAAGGACGAGGGTTCGTATTTCTTCAGTCTTTTTCTTTTAGTTTCCCACTTTTTTTTTTTTAAAATGAGTGGTTAAGTTTACGTTTAAATTAATTGAATTATATAGCAATTTTAGTTATCTCTTTTGTTTTCCTAGACAATATAATTACAGATGATTACCATGCATCACAAGATATGGGAGTTCTTTGTAAGTATTATTACGGAAAAAATGATAACTGCTAGTAGTGATTAATAGAGATTTTGGTGAAAATCTGGTTTCAGACAAGCTGAAAAGTTGATTTTAACAGGTAAAGTGCAAATAAACGAGGAAGATATACCGAAAAAAGCGGCTTATTATGTAAGTATTTGATCTTAAAAGTATCATCACTATAGATAATTAGCAGTTCATTTATGAACAGTTTAGTACTGCTCCATCAATTCCAAAAATGAATGCATTCCAGAACATTTTTTACAGAAACTGTAAAGAAAAAACCAAAAAATTGAAATTCCCAACTAATTGCTGTAATTGTTATTATTCCATCTACCAAATATTTATCGCCTTCAAATTTGTCCATTGATTTTATTGAAAGAAAAATGTTTGCTAAAAATCGAAAGAAATAATATACAACGAAGTACAGGTACAACAGAACGACATAATTGATATCTGGAAGCAACCGGTGGAGGGTAACACTAAATTTGCTGAAGTTCATAGAATCGAAATAATCAATTATATTCTAACTGATCAAGGCTATGATATCAACCTAAAATCATGGAAAGACTTCTATGTACAAAATTGGCGTGATAAAAACTAAGCTATGGTAATAAGCTGTAATACGGGATTTTCAGAGCGTTGTTTTGTTGTATATAGCAAAGTATGAAAAATTCATATCTCTTAGTACTCGGATTTTTCGTAGTTATCTGTGACACCAACTGCTAACTTTTGCTAGTGAACTCTTCAGAACGATTATAAAATATAAGACATGATAAATTAGATGACTTCATATGGAATTCTACCAGCGCTGATTTTCAACAATAGTATTGTAAGCACTTTATTTTTATTAATTTTTTTTTTTTGTCATATTTTTTTTGTCCTTATTTCGTTGTCTTTTTCCATTTTGTTTGCAAAGACTTTGTCTCTTTTGTCTGCTGGTAATTTCCATTATTTTCATATTGTGATTTGGAATTTAAAACTATTTATAAGTGCTCAATGAAATGAATAAATAAGATTATTGTAAATAGTAGTGGTTTTCGAATGACTTCGAAATCGTAGATATGTGAAGCAACCTATATAACAACTAACATAAGCATTATGCTTTCACTGAGATTCTAAAAAAAGTTGACAAGTCATACTCTAAAAAAATAAAAAATAATGTCCTTAATAGTTTTTCAGTCATAAATTTCTGTTTCGAACTAAAAAAGAGCACAATCAACTAAACAATTTTTTAAGATTGAGGATAAAGTCTTATAGTATTCTTAATTACTGTAGATTATTTGATTCGATGTTATACTTATGTTTACTTCGAGACTATTCATTAAAGCATAAGATGTTCTAATAATTCAGAAAAGAAACTGTAGGAATAAAATAATTCATTAAAACAAAGTGGTATTCATGGAAACTATACTCGGTAATTAAATATCATTACAAGTCAGATCATTATGGTTTCTAATCTCACATTAATCATCAGTGAAATTATTTAAAGCTTCTCGTAACAGCTTTTCGTCGTCACGTAACTGAAGTTGGCATTTCTGCAATATAGCGAGAATCAATTCGATATCGCGAAATCAAAAAAAAAACGACTGGATTATATTATATAAATGCAACAACCAGAAAATTTTTGGAAAGTAAAACTATTGGGAAAAGAAAGCAACGTGCATATTGACCTTAAGATTTTCCCACTGTTCCACTAAAATCGAAAACTTCACTGCCACTTCATTCACAATTTTCTTCTTTGCTTCATTAAATTCGATTTGTCGAGATTGCAGAGTTTTTCGTACTTCCGCAAGCTGTTCATGCACGGAAAGCTGAAATTGCTCGTGTGATTTCAGTTCACTATTAGTTACTTTATAATGGACATATGCCATTTCACAGGGAGATAATCAAAAAAAAAAAAAAAAAAAAAAAAAAAACAGTAATGAAAGAGTGGTTATTTGATTTCCGTGTAAACTGAAACAATAAAATCGAGCAGTGATAAATTTTTACTTTTCCATTGCGGAGAGCATGCAAGCTATCAAGCTCACTCTGTGCCACATCCACTTCCAATGACGTCTTTTGACGTTCTTCTTCCCAATCCTCACGCTTGAGCGTAAAATCGTGAGACTAAAAAATTATCATGATTTCGGTCTCATGCTTTTCGCGTAATTACATTAGAAATATTAAAAAAAATAAAAAAATACCATTTTTGAAATTTGTCGCTGATTACACTTCAAATTTTCTATTGAAAATGCTTGCTTTTGTCTTAGTTCAGTCACATCCTTGTTTACGGTTATTAGTTTCTCTTCCGTATTCTTAATCCAACTGTTAATTTCGTTGCTAAGTTCATCCAACTTCTCCTGGAAATAACTTAGAATATTTTATTCGTTGCAGTAGTCCATTTCTTTTATGATTTACCAACAGCATACTATTGCTAGTGCAGCAAAGAAATCAAAAAGCAATATGAACACTTCAACATTATCCCTGAACTTAATTTAACAATTTAACAAAGCTGTTATTAATATTTCTTTTTTTTCTGTTAATATTGCTCTGGCAAAGGTAAAATATAAGAAAAATTCCTGATTATTTTTGTATCCTTAACTTTTAACAAAAAATATGCTGTCGATAATTTTATTAATTTAATACAGCTATCAGGCACAAAAGAAATATAAAAACATTGACTACTTCAATTTTATTAAGATATTCCACAAAATGGGGTTCATTCGGAGAATTTTGATCCAGCACATCAATGAACGGATCATACGCCCCAAACACCATTCTGCTTACATCCTCGAAGGTTCTGACAAATACTCGATAACGTTCACGTAACTGTAATACTTAACAATCATTCAATAAACTCAGGTTTTTGCGGCAAATATTTCTTAAAATTTCATATGATCATCAACAAGGACGTCCGAGGAAATTTTCAGTCAACCACCGCGATATCATACCACCTAAATGAAATCTCTATCCCTGTAGGCACTAGCAATATATATATATAATAAGTCAATATGTGTTGATTTTTCCCTCAAAATTCTACCTACAAATAATTTTGTCATATCTGACAATACAATACAGATAGCCTTCACAAAAAAAAAAAAAAAAAAAAAAAAAAAAAAAAAAAAAAAAACTATGAATAAACCTGAGAAGCTTCTTTAAAATTGACCGAAAGAATTCGGTCATTTTCGAGCTCAATATTTTGTCGCTCCTTATTTGCTATTTCAATTCGAACTTTCAACTGAAGTTTTCCCTTCATTAAATAAAAACCGCAAAAAAATTACCAATTCCGAATAGTTATCCAATATCTGCCACTGTGATTCTCTTCTTTTGTTACATTAAAATCTATATTCACATTCACTTATTGTCCGTAGTATTATGGATAGACACTACTGGTATTAAGCAATAACTTTCAAACTATTTCAAGGTACTTTCATTCTTTACATATAAAAGTGCAACGAAACTGACCTCTTCTTTCCCAACACGAAGAGCTCTTGCTTCTTCACCGGTCATTGACTGCGTTGCTAACTGCTTCTCTTTCGCAGAAAGCTTTTCTTTAAGACTAGCAATCATTACATTGTACTGTTGAATTTTATCTTCCAAGCTTTCCTGCAGTATAGTTGCACATTTAAACCACAAGCAATTAAACACTATCTATCAGAAATACATACATTACCTTCAAACTATTTAAAAAAAAAATCAATGATAAAGTTAATACACATAGAAAATAAGAATACTTCATAAGAAAGATAAAAACCAACTTTTTTCTTTTTTTCTTCACCAAGTGTTTCCTGCTGTTCATCCTTAAATATCTGCATCTTTCCTAAATCCTCTTCCAGCACTTTAGTGCTCGTTTGAAGCTTATCAATCTCTCCCTAAAATACACTAAATCTATTAATAGGCCCGGAAAGTTTAATTTTAAATTTCTAAATTTATTAACAGTAATGATAAAGCTATAACAAAACAAAGTTTCGAAAAGATGACTCGAAATAGGAAAAATGACATAATATACTCGACAAGAGATATTTAACAGAAGCAAACATAAAGCAATGGGATAAAAATACACTTTATCCTTGTGGAGCTCTGCAATTTCTTCTGTCAATGTGACAATTTGTGCATCTAATTCAGCTTCCTGTGACGCGATATCTTCTCTTTCTTCTGAAATTCATAATGAATTTCATAAACTAAATGCTTCAGTTCAAAAAATATTCCGAAGTCTATATAATGAGACTCCAAAGTTCTTGAGATCCAAAACTTGAAATGTCTACAGACTTTCCATTTTAGGACTTCGATAGCTCCAGCTGTAACAAACGTCCACCCACCAGTTGGGATCATTCATTCCGAACAACGAGATTATACAAGCAATTGTCAGCTGTAGGTTATGACAAAGTTAAAGTTAATTCGTTCAGACCAACCAACAAGTTGAAGGAGGACATTATTCTCATCTTTGTAATTGTCCATAATGAATCCCAGCAGTGGATTACTGCAGTATTTCTTATAACATCGAACCATGTAGCCGTAAGCCAACTAAACAAACAAATGACTTCCATAGCTTTGCAAACAGACTGTTATGTAAAGGCTTTCTCGAAATAGTTTTAATAGTTTTTAGATTCAAATAATAGAAAACCTAACTTTTTAGACATACCTAATAATAAAATAAAGGAAATGAACCCAGCCAATTTTTCTGTGATGGAATTTTTACTATTACGGAAATAAAATTCCAAAATTTCTAGCATAATAAGACATAATCACAGTGAATCGAAATATGTTAAAATATTCATAAACCAGGCAGAGTAATTAACACATATTAGTGAAAACAAATAAAGGAATATTAAAATAAACTGATGTTGAACTATGAATTATAAAGTTATGCAATTTGTCACTTATCCAGAAGTAGATAAGGATATTTAAGACCCACCGATCTTCTCTGACCATCCCCTTCTTCATTCGCAAGGAGTAAATCTTGTGGTGATATTTCCCCAATCATCTACAAACAGGAGTCTAATTTTTAAGTTTGCACAATATTCAAGAAAAAATAAAGATTTCGCCATTCAAACACAATTGTCCTGAAGTAACATTCTGGAATTCTGATACATGTGAGATGACTTAACCAGAATCAACTGCAAAGCACAAGATCGTTTTAACAACTTCATTATCGTAATAGAAGACAAATATTCATTATAGCAAGAACAGCCGGAAATAAATTACGGTTTTTGACTACCACAATCCAGACTGTTTTTGATATCGGCAAGTCGATGTTTGATTTGGTTTTATCAGCGTGGTCTAAATAAATTGAGCTAATCACACAAGAATAACTTACTTGAATCAAATCAATTAGCCAAGTAATAGCTCCAAGAAGATATGGCATGGTATGCGCTGCACCAATGGTTTGCATAGTAGAAGGCTTAAGCTGCAGCGGATAGCCAATGGTGCGAAAAAGGCGAGGCATCTCAAAACAAACATTTCTCATTTTAAAACACGTTATAATATTGTATTCAAAAGTTAAGGATCAGCCTTAAGCTAACTTCCTCTCCCCGGAAATTTATTTTTCCCTGAATTTGCCATTATCAAGGAAATTATGGTATAGTCGATTGCTTACGTAACAGGATGTAACAAAGACATGAGTGTTTGGAAACAAGTGAACCAAAAATTGATCGTTATAATGTAAAATTTACCTCATCTTCAATTTTGCGTAGTGTGAAATCAGGTGCTAACTGTTGAAAGATGAATTCAAACACCCGCGCAAACTCAGTTTTCGTCGGATTTTTGACAAGTTTCTCGCTAGTCTGAGGATAGTTTTCGTCACGCAAATATTGCAAAACCTGCAAAAACAAGATTTCCAAATCTCTTTAGTTTTATTTAAAACCGTTCCGCGAGTCAGTAAATCACGCCTTTCACTACATAACCAGACTTTGTTCTTAAATATTTTTAAAAGAGAATTCTGATATGAAGTATCACATCACAATAACTAAATCCATTAGTGATTAAATTTTCAACAAATCTCAGAAGATGAAATTGTAAGATGGCAATGTTAACTCAGCATTTCAAACTTCTCCAAATATAATTCATGTTTAGTACACAATCCTACCTACAAAATTCAATCATCATGATGACGTTTTCAAACGGTTCCGTGGTGGCATTGGGAATCACTTCTTGCACTTTTAACGGGAAGACTAAGTGCCCAGAAAATAAACAAAAAAAAAGCATTACTTTGCGTTGCATTTGTTGCTGAACATGACGATCGTTGAGATTGCGAGGATCCATGACAACACCAGGATTCGATATTGACTTGAAAAATGAACTGCTCCGTCTAAGAGTCAAAAATTTGTATTAATTTATGGCTTGTCGGCTCTTTGTTTGTCTTTTTTGCAACATTTCTGACAACTAAAAGTTAAACGAAAAGCAAACTTTGATGCTGTAGAGGGAACACCACTCATCGCCAAACTATATCGCCGCTCATTGTTTATACCGCTATAAGAATTTTTATCATTTTATTTGGAAAAGAAATCATATTTTGCAAATGGAATCAACTTAAGAATAATTGAAATTTTCTCTGAAACTCATAATAAAAATACCCTTCACTGAGAAGTCATAATACTCTCCATTACTCCATTACATTACCTTTTCTCCATTACTTTATGTTTAATCAAGTAGTTCTCTACATGCCAAGACATTTTGATGTCAAAGCTGCCTCTGAACTCTAAATCAATTATGGAAAAGGCAATAAGGATTATTGTTTCAATTAAGGACGGAAAAAATCGTACGTTTCTATGTTTCTCGTTTTTAAGCATCCATTTCGCATGTTGTCGCACAAGTGCAATTTGTTTTTTAAACATAAATTTATATTGATGCTTGCGGCAATTATGTAGGCCAATTACATCACAAATTATGGTCGCATAAAACATGAATAACATGCGCTATGGTGAGGAAGAATGAGTTCATTCGTAGACGTGAAATTTGAAGTTATTCTATACGGTTCATAAGGTTGGTGCATTAAAATCCAGTACATTTACAATATATCACCTAAACTGTGAGATAAATAGAATATGTACCTTCTAGAAGACCGCAGAGAGGAATATCCTGTAAGTGGTGGCCCACGTCCTCCTACAGGCGTTTGAGTAATGGACAATCGCTGTGCTGAGTTGGCCACCTAAAGATAAAACCTCTATAAATAACTCTTTTCGTCTAAGTGTCTCTTAAGCCTTTTTCCGTTTTTCTCCATTTCACTAAAGATGACAATGCTTATGCTGAAAATGAACACCATTTTACGTTGATAGATATATACAAAACTAACTGTTCACTCGAACAACACAGGAAAAACATTCGCAAACATTTCTAATCACCTGATGTTGTCAATTTAGTTGAATAAAAAGAAAAGACAAATACCTGCGGTAAAAGAGGTTTTCGATTAGGATCAAACATCTAAAAAAATAATTTTGAAAATCAAATCATTAGAAATTATCGCACTATTTCAATGAATATGTTACTACATAAAATGAATTATAATTCGCACTGAGGTATATGAAATGGAGGTACATGCATATGCATTAATAAACATTATGTTCATACACATACAAGATATAGCGAACAGAAACATTATTAGCTATACTCATATACAAATGTATTCTAAATAATATGCAAATAAGCACAGATATACATTTTCTTATATACATACATTAAGGAAAGTAATATGTGTATAATATTCCTCAAAGCATTAAGGAAGCAGAAATACCAGCATAAAAAGATAGAGAAGGTTTTTACTCAGAAATTGATTAAAAAATAGATTTTAGCTTTACAAATTAAGAAGAAAAAAAAAAGAAATCAGTTTTATAAATAATTCACATCGACTACTTTATTGTGACAGAAATTAGCTGTTAAGTTAAAACCTATTTTCTAGCTTAATAAATACACATCTTATCGCATTTGAATAAATTTCAAAATATGATTGATGAATGATTGTGCTACGACAGTGTTCGAAAAAAAAAACCCTCAACGTGGGATTCAACGGAGTAACAAATCTACCTTACGTGATGTCAGCATGAAACTCACGTACCACGTCATGTCGAACCCTTAACGCCCCACCTGTTTGTCAAACATTTCATTTTAAACAAAAGTAATTGGCGCATTCACGCACCGATTGCAAAATTCGTCCATTCGTTGTACGGTTGCTTAAATTTGAAAATTAACACATCTCAGGTGGTTATGTACAATGTCAAAGTTTTTTTGTTGCTATTGAGTGGTCTAAGGGATTTGAGAGATTCGATGTTGTCACTGAGAGATCTGAGAGATTTCTTTTTAGCACGGAGAGATGCGAGATATTATATATTAGTATTAAAAGATTTGAGAATTTTTATATAACATTGGTTAATTTCATGGTTCTATATGATGATTAACTGAATGGGATAAATGCATTAAATAAATATAAGTTCTTAGCAAATAAGTGTGAATTTTTAGGATTATCAAGCACTATTCTTTAATATTTGATCCATTTGTTAATGAAATATGTTTCGTTTGGTTATGATTTTATTAGTGGAATTTGAGGTTGTTATGGTAAATTAAACTGATAAATTGCTTCATTGTTTGTTTATTGCGTAATAATGTTTTCTTTTATTTTAATTAAGTTCTGCATTCTATCAAACTTTCATGTGCTTTCCCGAGATGTTATATTTATGATGTTATTATATCATTTGAAGGTTAATTTTTAGAATATATTTACCGAAGGAAAGATCGTATTATGGAAATTGGATTAAAGGATGTGGATATCATGTAGAAAATTAATAATAATTAATTATTTCCAACTATAAATTGTTTTCCTTCAATTTTATAGTGTTGCCCGATTAACGAAACAACTGAATACCACCTAATCGATTCATTATTGCATTTACTTGTGTGTGAGCTAGTGAGAAATGCAATATAAACAGAATCGTCTTCATTGTGATGGTGTTATCAAACATATGGATATGCTTGAAGACTTTACCGGACGACTCAGAGAAATTCTACCATCCGAAACACAAGATCGGGTATTTTTTCACGTTTTTATTCAGTTATAGTGTCTCTTTCCACCGCATGTACAATAAAATGTTTTCATCTTACTTGCATATCGATTTCCAAAAATGAACTCATTTGTATATAAGCTCTTGTACTACTTTGGAGTGTGCTTTAGATAATGGTGTAAACTACTCGACTAAGATATATTCCTGTATCATTTCTCAGTAAACTTTAGGTTTCTAAGATCAGTTCTATCAGTGATCTTCACAGTCTTTATTTCTTTCACTATCGAGGCTTCTTTTAAAAATTTTGTATTTGTAATATCTTTCAGATAGCGATGTTCATTTTATTCATACTTTTACCACTTGGATTTCTGTTCGAGATATTCGCGATATTACCGACTGAGCATGAAGTAATGTCGAAGGTATAATTTCCTTATTTTATAATTCCTGTTTAGTTCAAAGCTTTATTTAATCTAATCTTCATGTATATATGCATGACTTACATTTCTAAATAAAGGAAAAATATTTTTTGTTTTACATGAAACTTGTGCTTTCGTGGTAAAGCTTCTATTAGAAAAGATCAAATAAGCAAATGAGATGCTAACTACGATATTGTCGTGCTGAACATTAAATATAGATTTATACTTATGAGACATTTACCTCTTCGTGCTATTCAGTGCTGAATAAAGTTATCACTAAGTGATTAGTAAACCTATCATTAAGTGGTTAATGAGGCAAAGCGGAATTCATGCTGATTTTTTTTTTTTTTTCGATTATAGTATGTCGAGTAAAACTTGATTTTACTTATATCATATTTAGTTTTACACTTTTTTCAGGGATGGAATTTAAGAGTTGGTATATTGATGCTGTTTGGGTTAAATGCATTTGCTAATGTGTACAAAGTTATATCTGTTGGACCAAATGGTAATTGCTCAGATTTGCCAGCAGTACAAAAGCATGGTTATCGATTTTGCTATAACTGTCAGCTAAATGAGCCTCCACGATCGCATCACTGTCCAGGTAATTTTAGTATAATCAACTATGAAGCAGTAAAATTCGATGTGTGCAAACTTTTAGTCACTCTCCAATAGTTAAAGCTGGTATATAATATGTGAGTATATTAGAAAATCTAGACATATTCTTTTCTTTCTTTCTTTTTGATACGAAATGATTATATTTTATGGAATAGTAACACTGTTTATATTGTTTGTATCCATTTTCCTAATATATCAAATAAATTGATTTGAAGGAAAATCAGCAAATCCGTAACAATTTATTATACTATTGAAAAATTGGGTCGAAAATTTTCAAGTTTTTATTATTTTGGCTCGAGTACATATTGTTTTTCATATGATGCATTTCTACATTTTAGTTTGTGACAGATGTGTATTTCGACGAGATCATCATAGTTCGTTTGTCGCCGTATGTGTTGGGCACTTTAATCAGCGTTATTACATTAGTGCTATTTGCAGTTTATGGATTATATCCCTTACTGTGTTAATGTAATATCTTCATTCATCTTAAATGCCAACATAACACAAATTTAAACACTTAGTTCAGATCTCTTCTCAATTTTTTATAAAAATTGATAATTTGCTGATAAAGTTGCCGACAAAGCGTTTTTCAGTCTGAGATGGATTTAGAATTGACTGGATTACTTGTTTTAGAACAGAATCCCTTTCCATTTCATCATTAGCGTCTCCTTTAAATGTCTTATGGTGCCGGTTGATAATTATATTGGATGCTTTAGGTGGAATTGGTCATTTATGTGGACGTCACTCGGTGGTTTTTCACCATTACAACTGTGGGAATTGATAGTGCCTCACTTGGCACTAATCTTTCGCATCATCAGTTTTTCTCAGTTTTTATGTGTAATGACCTTTATCTTTTCGTTTACTGTATTCGTCTTTCTATGTTATCTGATTACAGCTCAGCTTTTTTGCCTTTACCGAGGGCAAACACGCATGGAATATCTTATGGTACGTGCTTCCACTCTTTAATGTTTTATTTCTTTTTTTTTTTCTTTTTTTTTTTTTTAATAAAGATGAATTGCCAGTATAAATGCTCTGATTAACAGCAGCAGGTCTTTTTTTTCGATGAAAAGTAAGTAAATTTTTTTTACTGAGGATATATTACTAGAATTTTATAGCTTATTTTTATGAAATCTTTTGTTTAATTAAGCAAAAATTCTTTTTGAGGATGTACATGCGTATAATCTGGGATTTATGGAAAACGTACGTCAAGCTATGGGTAGACGTTGGTTTATAGCACTGTTAATGCCGTTCATTTCTTCACCACTTGATTCTGATGGTCTTTCATATCCAACACGTGAATCCAAGCCACTGAATGATATGAAGACTATGTGAAGAACAGAAATCAATGTTTCTTCTCTCGTATAGCTTTAAAGTCAAAATTTTTAACTTATCCAATTTTTCCAAAAATTTTTTTCGAAAAATTTGACTGTACCGGTTGATTATTTTGCAGTTTTCTGAATTTCTCTGATTTTGGTGATATCTTAATTTTTTCATTTAATAACTGTTACTTTGCCTAATAAATATGCAAAACGTGAAAGAGCTTATCATAATTATTGCGAATGTTTTTATAAATGGTTGTATTTGAACGAAACAATAACGTTTTTCGTTTTTCCTGAAAAGATAGATTTTTTTTTTTTTTTTTTGTTAAGAAAAAGAAAACGATCTGCATATTTTAATTTTAAGAAATAATGTTTTTTATATATCGCCGCTTTTCTTTCAGATAAGTTTATATTTATTTCGAAATTAAAAGTTCTTTCTTGCGATGCTTTCAAACGCTTTCTGCTCTATAGTATGCTTTTAATAACTATAATGTAATAATATGAGTATGTGAATGCTAAATTAATTAAGCAGTAAGTAAATACTTGTAACGATGAGCGGTGATGTCTGGCCGCTGCCATGAAATATATGTTTTTGTGTATTTACTGTGCTTATTTGTGTCTAAATTTTGGTTTTTTTTTTCTTTTGCATAATCAAATTTTTTGTTGCTTGTACTATTTATTAGTCATGTAATTCTTACTGTAGGATATAGCTAGTGGCATTGTTTGATTTAATTCCTTAATGTGTAAAATTTTTTAGGTGTGCGTGCGTGTTTTGTTAATATTTTATATGACTTTATTTCTGAAATCATAAATATTTTATTGACATATTAGTTTTTCTACAAATTCGAGTTTAGCTTTGGATTTTGTTTATTATATAAATTCGCCATCTCTGGTAGACCTCCGTATGTGCACTAATTTAATTACTGCCACAAATGAAGTAATCAACCGAGAATTATTAATTATAATGTTAAACTTGTTTGGTTCATAAAACATTGCATTCATGGGGTGAATAAGTTATTCTAATTTCAGTGAATCTTGATTTTTATGCTAATTGTAGTGCAGTTTCTAGAATAATTCTGAAGCGCAACGTTTGAGATTGGGAACTCTTCTTTCCTTTTTTTTTTGACTTTCTAAAATACCTGAAGTTACAGAAATATTTTACAAAAAAAAAAAATACAAAAAAGATCTAAAAATTACAAAAGTGTTTCCAACCTTTCAGCTTTTCTCGAACCGAACATCCATGAAATATATCGTTTCATCTAATTGATACTTTCGAATATCTTTTAGTGATTTAAATCAATTTTTTTAACAGCAGTCGACCAAATGATCGCTGGTAAGGATTTCTGCGTTGTGTCTCAATATATAAGTAAAACAATTACAGAAAAATTTACTACTGCTTTTAGGTGCTTCTCGTAACGGTTGGTACGTCCTTAAATCTGAAAATCAATGACAAGTTTCATTTTTTCAATAATTTTAAAAAGGAATTTTTCAAACATTTCGGATCACTTTTTTAGCTTTTTAAAAAATTTCATTTTTTTAAAATTTCCGTTTTTTTATTAGTTTTTTTAAGTTTCAACTTCTTTTTTTGAAAAACCTCACTTTTTCATAATTTCAATTAAATTCTAAAGAATGTTTTCACGGTTTTTTTTCGAAATATTACTTCCAAAAAAAAAAAAAAAAAAAAAAAAAAAAAAGCTAAAAGCTAAGATTTTGTCACTTATTTGTTTTTTTCGAATTTATCAAAAAATAAAAATCCGATAATCGTAATGATGTAATAACATTAGCAATAATAATAATTTATAGGCATAGATCCAAGAGAGGAATGAATCAAAGTAGTTTAAGCCTAGAAGATGTTGATTATCGATTTAATAAATGTTTGAGAAAAGCAATGAATGATATGCGACAGCTCGTGAAAGGTGAAATTAGCGAAGATGAACTAGGTTACTTGATCTTTTCATTCTTTCTTTATTAACTTTTAAATTCGGCTTAAAATAATTCCAAATATTCCCAAATATTTGAAGATTTAGCACTAATGACTAATTTTTAAGTGAAATTTTTAATTACTTCTTTATTAAGTAACACTGAAAACTTTGCACTTTTCTCGCAATAGATCATGGCCAAATGAAAGATTTTCCTACCTATAGATTGTTAGGCTATTCTCTAAACTATAGGGACTTTAACAATTTTGTTTATGTCTTGGCAAATATTTCGTAAAACTGGCAAAGTTTGTTCTCTTTTATATTCACAAATATGAATAAGGTTAGCACAGAATTTTTACTCAAATATTTTTTTAACAATATTAAAATTTGTCTCTTTCTCTTTTTTCGAAGAAAATTTTTTAAAAAAAAATTATAAAATTTTATTAGAATGTTAAATTTTTAAAACCCATTTTTTAATATTTATTTGATATTCCATGTTGAAAAAGTGAAAATTAATTAATTGACCTAACTAATTAAGATGTTGAACAAGGATTCCAACAGCTGGCGGTAGGAACAATGATTGAAAATTTCACAAAGATATTACTGGACAATGAAAAAGTTGATTATGCTGACGTTAACGTAGAAATGCGCTTGAAAAATATCAGATATAATTCAAGAAAACAAAATAACCATTTCTTCTCATATGTAAAAAATGTTTTTTTTTTTTTCCAATTAGTAATTTGTTTCATTTTTTTTTTTCAGTAATTTTTCATCTTTTCATTTGTTCCATCTTTTTTCTTTTCTAATTAATAATTTGTTTCATTTTTTGTTGCAATTGCGGTAAAAGTTTATATTTGACTACAGATACTTTAAATTTTTATAAATATAAGTTTTCTTCTCGAAACTTTTTCAATAAATTTAACTTTTTGTAAAAATAAATATTTATCAATGATAAGAGAACAAATAAGTATAACGATAAATAAGTTATGTAGTACGATTATAAAAGTATATATTTCAATCAATTGAAAATATTTTTTAGAGATCGAAAGGGTTAGACGAACGTGGTGGTCGAATTATGCGTAATTGAAGTAAAAGTAGATTTAAAATAATAAAATTTAGATATAATTTAATATAATTTCGAAAACACAAATAAGGATAATAAATAAAGTAACTAATAAAAATGTGAAAAGTGTACATTTTCATTACTAGAAACACAGGTGCGCTTTTTTATCACTAAAAATAAAAGGCTAAAAAATTTTCTTAAATTTTAGAATTTTTTTTTTTTTAATGCAACAATTTAAAGATTATTTCTTGCAATTATCCTTGTTAATAAGAGGAATATAAGAAAATCTGAAAGAGACGAAGGAGAGGAAGGGAGAGAGGGAGAGAGGGAAACAGATAATTTTGATAATGAATTATTTCTAAATGAATTAAGCAAATATGAAGTGATAGATTTGACTATGACAAGCTGAAATAGTAAATGAATTATTTCTCTGAAATAATTATTTACAAAGCATTTACAAACCAATGGCAAATCATTTACAAGCCATTAATAAAACGGTACTCATTTGTTAATAATTTGATGACCTGGAATAATAAATATAAAATAATAAATTTAGCTATAATTTGGCTTTTTTCTATTAATATTAAGCTGCTTGATATTCCATTTCTATGAAATATATCTCAAAATAAACAAGTTAATATTTCCAAAACATACGATAGTAAATGAAATTACTTTAAAATTTACACTTAAAAAAGTAAATTCAAAAAAATGAATGAATGAATAAATAATTGATGTCAATGGAATAAATCAATTCTAAATTATTGAAATACAGTTATTACTTATATACAATTACTGATTAATTAAAATGAAAATTTACTCACAACATGACAAACTATACTATTTTCATAATTGCATGACATAAAATAATTATGGAATTGAATGAGTAATGGAAGTATTTTTAATAAATGCAAGAAATAAATATGTTATAAATAAAAAGATAGTTAAAATTAAGAAGTGATTAGAAAAAAAAAAAAAATCAAACTAGACGAATAGTTCACAATTTCTGTTCCACAATTGCTAAATCTTCAATTGTTAAGTTTTCAATTATTTTTTTCTCTTTTTTTATTCAAATTGCACATAGCCAATAAAATTATTCAAATTATTGTAACATAATAAATACTGAATAACATGAAAATAGCATGCAAATAGAATTATTGCATTCATGCATGCAATAAATTTCTTCATTCTATACTTTTCATCTGTCAATTATTTTGTTCATTCAATTTCAGGAAATTATGCAACAAACAAAAAATATTTTCTCCCCTCTCCAAAAAAAAAAAAAAAAAAAAAACGAAGAAATAACTTCCCAATATTTAATTAATAATTCAGTCTCATTGTTGAGTAAGCGAGAATTTTCCGGGGCAAACTCTCACATTCCTACATGCATTTTATTTTTCATTGAATAAACTAAATCTTTATATCCTTCTTCCCCAGTGAATAAATCTTTTGGGTAAATCAATTACTATTTCAATTGAAATGAAGTGGCTCGTAATTTGAATTTCGGAAAGCTTTCGTCGGTCATTATTAGATTTAAATTAAGTAGCACTCTAAGCATTTCCATCATCAATGCCAAAATCTAAGTATATCTAATGATGCACTACCAATTATTGTTCCAAAATTTTCACCATTTTAATTTTAACTAAAATTTATAAAGTTTATTCTTAATTTGCTTAGAAAGTTAATCATCTTTTCATTCGTCATTCATTGCAATAATTCATTTCCATGCAGTCTATTCTATCTATCTAAAGTAAGAAGAGCAAATGCTAAATTTCGCATTTTTTTTTTTTTTTTTTTTTTTTTGCAAATCATTTATCTTAATATAACTTATAAATTTCAAACAAATGCATAATATTCTTGAGTTCTTCAATATCGCAAAATAATGCTTTTTTTCGATTTTTTTTGAATCAATTTTTTTGATTTCAAAATTTTCAAAAGTTTTAAGTCTCAAATGATAAATATGAAATTCAACTTTATCTATTATGATTGGATGACATCTGCTGCATAATTAATGCATATAATAAGCAAAAATAA